CAGTTCTAGTGTAAGTGTACATTAGTTAATATAGATTTTAAATTGTTAATTTAATGGGTACACAATATAATGGTGTAGACCTTATTTTGAAACAGTGCATTACTTAAGAATAATATACCAATGTAATAAAAAGTAGATCCGATGATTTATATAATGGGGCCATCAGTTTAAGTGTACGTATAAATTAGTTAATATAGATATTGTTTATTTAATAGGTACATAATATAATTGTGTAAAATTTATTTTAAAATAGTGCATTATTTGAAAGGAAGATTTTTTGTTATATGATGGTAGATTCTTTGTTTTGTAAAATTATGATTATTTAAAAAATATATTCATATATATATATATATATATATATATATATATATATATATATATATATATATATATATATATATATATATATATATATATATATATATATAAATGGAAAAAAGAAAAAAAGGAAAAAAAAAGAAGGAAGCGTACGTATAATGTATACGTACGTATATACTCCACCTGCCACCTGCCAACGCGCGGGAGGAAGATAGGTAGGACCCATAGTATTTAGTTTGTTTTAAGATCGATTTTATCTAACGGTGTATAATATTGGACCCACCAATTTAATTGAAAATCAAGGGATAGATATTTTTCTTTTTTCTTAGAATTTCTAGGATTTTCTCTATTTTATTAGAGCGCCACTTGGCGGCTTAACAACGTTTGTAGGAAGTCTCATGGATTTTTAATAGATAATAGATAGATAGATAGATAGATAATAGATAGATAGTAGATTACTTTTCGTTTGTAAATATATCGTTTGGTTTATTCCATATATTGTTTGGTTTATTCCACGAATAAACGAAACAATGGACCGAAAGGGCATTGTCCTTGGCTCGAAACTTGCGGTGTTCTCGATGATTTTATTGTGGCACAGGCACGGCGTGGACCAGCCACGGAACCCGTGGTCGGACGGGCCGGAGTTCATCACGCAGTGCCCGATCCGGCCATGCGGCAACTTCACCTACCAAGTGATCCTGTTCGAGGAGGAGGGCACGCTGTGGTGGCACGCGCACAGTGACTTCGACCGCGCCACCGTCCACGGCGCCATCGTCATCCACCCCAAGCATGGCACCACCTTCCCCTTCAACAAGCCAGACAAGGAGATACCCATCATCCTCAGTACGCGCGCGTGACACGAATATAAAAATCTTTTTTATAAATTATTTTTCGTCTGCAAATATGTTGTTTGGCTTATTCTCCACAATAAGCTAAACGATGGAGCCGAATCTTGTTTGATAATATTAGTTCCGTCGTGCAGTGCAATGCAATGCTTCGTGTATGTTTTGATCTGAATCATCGCTATAATGTGTTTGCAGGCGAGTGGTGGAATGACGACGTAGAGAACGTGCTCGACGAGGCGAAGCGCACCGGCGGAGATGTGGAGCCAGCCGACGCGAACACCATCAACGGCTAGCCCAGGGACATGTTCCCTCTCTGCTCTAGGGATGACACATTCAAGGTGGCCGTGCAGCAGGGCAACACGTACCTGCTCAGGGTCATCAACACGGGGCTCACCAACGACATGTTCTTCGCCGTCGCCGGGCACTGCCTCACCGTGGTTAGCATCGACGCCCGCTACACCAAGCCGCTCACTGTCGACTACATCATGATCGCGCCGGGCCAGACCATGGACGTGCTCCTCGAGGCCAACCGCACCTTGGGGTCCAACAGTCGTTATTACATGGCCGCGAGGGCGTTTATCACGTTACCGGTTGACACCATCCCTTTCAACAATAGCACCGCCACGGCCATCGTGGAGTACACGGATAGCCCCACGGCGAGGCCACCCGGGCCACCAGAATTCCCTCTCCTCCTGCCGGCCATCAAGGACGAGGACGCAGCGATGGCGTTCGTCACGCAGCTCAGGTCGTTAGGCAACTAGGACCACCCGGTGCACGTACCAACGCAGGTCGACGAGCGCATGCTCATCGATATCGACGTCAACTTTCTTCCCTGCGACACCACCAACGCGACAAACAAGTTGTGCAAGGGACCCCAAGGCAACCAGTTCGCGGCGAGCCTCAACAATGTTAGCTTCGAGAGCCCGGCCATCGACGTCCTCGACGCCTACTACTACGGCTCCGGCCGCGGCGTGTACGAGGAGGACTTCCCCAACAAGCCGGTGAATGCCTTCGTCAACCCCACCGGCGACAACGGCGGCAGGCCCTTGCTAACGAAGCGCGGCACCAAGGTGAAGGTGGTGGAGTACGGCACGGTGGTAGAGGTGGTGTTCCAGGACTTGTCCAGCGAGAACCATCCTATGCATCTGCACGGCTTCGCCTTCTATGTCGTGGGACGAGGGTCCGGAACCTTCGACGAGCGCAGGGACCCGGCGACCTACAACCTCGTCGACCCGCCGTTCCAGAACACGGTCTCCGTGCCCAAGTCAAGCTGGGCCGCAATCCGCTTCCGCGCAGACAATCCAGGTGAGTTATTCGGATTTCGATCGGATTGTGGTATTTTGATATAGTACTTTCATGTGCAGTTTTTTTTAAAAAAAAGGTTCGTGTTTATTTTCATTGTTCAGGTGTGTGGTTCATGCATTGCCATTTTGATCGCCACGTGGTATGGGGGATGGACACTGTGTTCATCGTGAAGGATGGCAAGACGCCGCAGGCTCAGATGTTGCCTCGTCCTCCAAACATGCCTGAGTGCTAATGACCGTGGTTCAAGGAAAATAACAAGAGTGTGCAAACACAAGCAAGCGGAAATTTGTTTGTTTTGTTGATTGATTTAGTGGTTTATTTTTTTTTCCTTCTTTCGCTGAAAAGGAAGAACGTCCTGCCTTGTAATTGTTAGTCACTTCGTTCTGTCATGTAAGTTTGGAATTTTTGTTATTCAATTTATTTTTTTGAATTTTTGTTATTCAAATTATGAATATAACTAAATAATGTATTTGCAGTGGATCGTTATTATGACATCTTTCTTTATAAACACACACACCCTTGCTATCTTGACTATTAATTCCCAGTGTTAAATTGTGTTACACTGTTTTAGTTTTTCGCAACTGTGATGACCTTAGAGCAAATTTAATAGTATATTAAACTATAGCTCCAAATTATCTATAATCAATTTAATAGTTAATTCATACGATGGGTACGTATGAACTTATACTATACTATTAATATATTAATATATAGTCTCACACAGTGGCGGAAAGAGGGGTAGGGCAGCATACTCCTAAACCTAAATATTCATTAAAATTTACATTTGAAAACTTCAAAAATATGAAAAATAAAAGGTAAATTATGTAAATTATGCTGGTTGAGCCCTAGACTTGAGAAAATTCTTGCTACGCCACAGATCTCACATGTCATACACACATTATATTTTAGAGCCAGTACTATAATTGGCTACAAATCTATAGCTCACTACTCTTCTCTCTACTCTTTTATCTTCTTGACATGTGTCTATTGCTAACTTATACTCCCTCCGTCCTATAATATAAGGGATTTTGACTTTTTGCTTGTATTGTTTGACCATTCGTCTTATTCAAAAAAAATTTAGAATTATTATTTATTTTATTTGTGACTTACTTTATTATCCAAAGTACTTTAAGCACAACTTTTCGTTTTTTATATTTGCACAAATTTGTTGAATAAGACGAGTGGTCAAACAGTGCAAGTAAAAAGTCAAAATCCCTTATATTATGGAACGGAGGGAGTAGTTTATTATTGTACCCACTCTTGCTTAGGCCCTGTTTAGATCCCACCCTAAAATTTTTCACCCTGTCATGTTCGAACGTTTGAACACCTACATGAAGCATTAAATATATGCTTAAAAAATAACTAATTGCACATATTGTGACTAATTTACGAGACGATTCTTTTAAGCCTAATTGCTCCATAATTTGACAATGTGGTGTTACAGTAAACATTTGCTAATGACGGATTAATTAGGCTTAATAAATTCGTCTCGCAGTTTAATGACGGATTCTATAGTTAGTTTTTTTAGTAGTGCCCGAACATCCTATATGACACCCTATATAAAACCTAATGTAACACGCCAAAACTTTACACCTCTGGATCTAAACAACACCCCCTTAGTCTCACAATGTTTTTGTTTGAGTGAAGTGCACATGCGGTCATTAAACTTGTACGGATATATCTTCTAGTTCCTTAAACTCTTAAGATGAATTTTTCGGTCCCCAAACTTATCATGAGTGTCGTATATGTTTAAACGGGTTCCAACCCGCTCCGTGAGATGACGTGGAGTTTACTTCCTCCGTTCCATAAAAAAACAACCTAGTACGGGATGTGGCATATCTTAGTACTACGAATCTGGACATACATGTGTCCAGATTTATAGTACTAGAATATGTCCCATCCAATCTTGGGTTCGTTTTTTATGGGACGGGGGAAGTACGTGTCAGTGGATCCAACGTGTCAGTCACGTAGAAAAAAAATAAATTTAAAAAGAGAGGAGAGAGAAGAAAATGATGTTTTTAATTTTGAAAAAAGTAAATGATAAAAGAGAGGAGAAAAATATGTTCTTAATTTTTTCCTTACTATCCGTTTGAATCTATATACACACGAGACAAGTTGAGGGAAAAAAATTATGAGAGTTTAGGATCTAATTATACACCCACATACATTTAGATATCAGCCGTGCACTTTACTTTTTTTTTTTTTCGTGACTACTAGTTTCTGGAGTAACTACCACCAAAGCTGTGCTGCTGTTGTGCTTCCAGTGGCAAACACAGCAGATAGATAATACAGGGCCCGCGACGTGGGCGAGAAAACCGTGTGCCCCGCGCGGCGTGGCGGCTCGGCGCTGGCGAAACCAGGGCGGCGCGCGCTCCCGGTTCGCCACTTGCCCCCATCTCCCGACACGCACGAACGCCATCCCCGCCCCCGCGCCACCGATGTTCTCATCCAAACACATCACCTCCTATCTCCACCGGCACGCATGCCGACTCCTATTATAAATGATCCCTGTTCTTTTTGGCACTGATCCCAATTCACTAGTCGTGCCATTCCAATCACCTCGGCGAGATCAGTCCAAACTCCAAAGAAATCAAGAATTCGCAGATGAAGGTGCTTGTGGCGGTGGACGACAGCCGTGGCAGCCACCGCGCGCTGTCCTGGGTGCTCGACCACCTCTTCTTCCCCGCCGCCGCCACCGGCGACGGCGGCGAGGAGGAGCAGGTGCCGCGGCCGGCGCCGGAGCTGGTGCTTGTCCATGCCATTGAGCCGCTCCACCACGTCATGTTCCCCGTCGGCCCAGGTCAGTCAGTCGTCGTCCCCGTCGGGCCGCCGCAATGCGCAGCTGTCTCGAGGGGTGATTGCTTACGGGTGTTCGCGCAGGGTCGGCGGTGTACGGCGCGGCGTCGATGATGGAGGCGGTGCGGGCGGCGCAGGCGGAGAACGCGCGGAACCTGCTCGTCAGGGCGAGGCTGATCTGCGAGCGGCGTGGGGTGGCCGCGGCGACGGTGGCGGTGGAGGGGGAGCCCCGGGAGGCGCTGTGCCGCGCCGCTGAGGACGCCGGCGCCGGCCTGCTCGTCGTCGGCAGCCGCGGCCTCGGCGCCCTCAAGAGGTACGCACACGCAGTCACGCACACACCCCCTAGCTGTTCGTGTCAGTGTCAGTGACCAGGACTCCATGGCGTCGCGCAGGGCGTTCCTGGGCAGCGTCAGCGACTACTGCGCGCACCGCGCGAGCTGCCCGATCATGGTCGTCAAGCCGCCTCCCGACGCCGGCGACGAAGACGACGGCGGCCACTGCACGAGCAACTGAACTGATGATGGATCGCCATTACATCCGGAAGACCAGCTTTCGAGGGGGAAAGAGAATCAAGAGAGAGACACTTGTTTTACCATTGTTGTTCCTGCTCAGTGCTGAATTTGTCCTTCCAAAGTTCCTACCCTGAAGCGCCGTCAATAAACATTTTTACTGTGTGCTGCCCTGCGTCTCATCTGTGCTTTTGCTATACCGTTGCACATGTTTCTTAATTTTGCAAAAAAGTTTTTGAAACACGGTACAAACGACGCACAGGCGCCTCGCTGCAACGACTATCACTGAAGGAACAATGAAGGAACAATGAGCCGTAAAGGCATCTCGTTATCGATCGGTTGTTGACGGATACATGGGCTATCATTGAAAGAATAATAGCCTATATCACAAATAACCCTAACTAATTAAGCTATACTCACTTCATACAAAACTCTAAAATTAATCGGTGGTGAAATCTCTAATACCGATTTCAGGGCTCTATCCCTGGTTAGAGAAGCTTTTCCTCCCCAAAAATCTGCCACGTGTCTCTTTGCTCCCCAAAAGTTCGCTGCGATGGACCAACGAAGCTTGATTTTTTCTCGCAAAAGCACTTGACCCCTACTCCACCCATCCCTCCTCCCGATGCACGCCTCGCCGCCCACCGGATCCTCCGCCACCCGCGCGCCGCAGCGGACCACCCGCTCATGTCCTCCCTCAAGGCGCGGGCTCGTCTTCTTCACCACCGCCCGGCCACCTCGCCCTCCCTTGCGCTCCCCACCGCCATGCTGCTGTCCTTCCTTGACGCGCGGGGCTGTCGTCATGCTGCAGGAGTCACCACAAGCACGCGATAGTCGTCGCCGATACAAACTTCGGCAAGATCCGTTGAGCCCAATGAAGAGAAGAGCGGCGGTGGTGGCCGTCGACCCGGAGGCCGGATCAGGAGAAGGGAGGGGGCGCTAGCTAGCAGAGGAGAGGAGGCGGCGTGCACGGGTGAGTGGTGGCGTCGCGCCGGATCCTCTGCCACCTGCGCGTCGTGGCTATGACGCCGCGGCGAACCACCCGCCAACGGCCCAAGGAGCAGGAGGGATTGCAGGAGGTGGAGGATAGGGAGCGCATCGCAGACTTCTCCTCGCTCATGTTGACGGCGCTACTTCGATCTTGTAGACGCAGGCGCCATCGAATTTCCTGCAAAGGAGGCCATATACTGTCCGTTGTCGCAACGGCATCGCGGCGAAGATGGAGACGCCGAGGAGCAAGGAGCAGATTGAGGAATGGAGACTGGAGAGCAGCGGAGTCGTTGACAAATAGGAGCGGGGACTGGGGACTGGGGACTGGGAAGGACAAAAAAAAAATGACTTTATTTAGCTGCAAGCCTACAACTGAAGACAGCGTACGAACGGCTAGATCAATGTACAGACGGACGGCTCTGATTTTTTTCATGACGTTGCCATCTAAATGAAAAATCAGTGAGCATTACATTCAGATAGTGTAGGGCAGAAAAACTAAAGATCTTATTATATCATTTGATTGTGCTCTCAGTTGACACTTACAGGCTCCTATCGGATGGCCTAATCAGCTAAAGAAAAAGCCAAATTTTAAATTTTTAAGTATAATTTTGAGATATTTTCAAAGTAGTTTCTTTTTCAACATTGGCTTTTAAGTCACCAAGAACATATTTATAAAAGTTTTATCTACAAATTCATTTTTATTTTCTAACGGCTTATTAGAAAATAAGCCAAACAGTGGGGACCACAGTTCGGCTGCACATACAAGTTGCAATGGGCAGATAAGGCCTCTTTGCAATCATTTATCCAGGGTATAATTTTTTGAGGGAGTATCCAGGATATAATTAAGTAGTAGAAGAGAATAAGGAGGCACTGGTATCTTTTGCTTTAGCTTGAGCTCAACGCAATTCCAAATTTTCAAACAAATAATTAATTCCTTACTCTTCTTTATTGTGCAAATAGAATTTTTTAATGTTATGCACTTTTAGAAGATAAAATTATTTTTTAAAAAGGGATTTTCTTGATTTTTATAGACATGTGGAGGCAGGGGTGAAGCCACACCTGGCTATCGCAGGTGGCCGCGCAAGTTCACCAACAAAAACTCCATTAAATTTATATGTTATTGAATGAATTGATGATGAAATTTATATAACAAATACTAGAAGTATAGTTTGCTTGGGCTCAAAAAATCTTTTTAGCTCCGCCAGGAGATAAAATGAAAATACTCCCTCCATCCAAAAGTCCAAGACCTACTCCCTCCATCCCAAAAGGACTCAATTCTTGGATTTTCGTGCCCAACGTTTGACCGTCCGTCTTATATGAAATTTTTTATGATTACTATTTTTATTATTGTTAGATGATAAAACATAAATAATACTTTATGCATGACTTATCTTTTTAAATTTTTCATTTTATTTCAGATAAGATTGATGGTCAAACGTTAGACACAAAAACCCAGGAATTAAGTTTTTTTGGGACGGAGGGATTATTTCTTTTGGCACCAAGACCAAGGAGTAATTAATTTATTTACAATGTGACAAAACCAATAAACATGCAACCAATAAGTAATAAAATGGTTTATTGGGTTCTGATCAATAATTTAATTTAACACATAATAACTATAAATAGGACTTAAACTTTTGGAAAAACCAAAGAATGGAATAAGTTTTAGACTTTAGAAGAAGGGAGTAAGTAGTTTCATTACTTTGGTTTCGTTGGAATTTGGAATTTGTGCGCATATATTCGACTTCCAACTTATGTATATGAATTCAATGTCTTGCTGCTTTAAATTAATATATGAATAAAAGAGCATAGTTTCCTTAATTTTAGGCATTAAATAGATAAAGAAATTAAGTGTACTTATCATAACATATCATTTACTCCCTCCATTCCATATTGATTACCATATAACTTTTTCACCAAGAAAAAAAAAGTATTAACTTTCCTATATTTCATTTAATGTGAGTATGTGGTAGGGAAAAATCAAGAAACATGCACACTTTAACTCCTCTTAGGCCCCATACATAAGATCAGGTCTAGTTATAAACACATTTCGAGGAGATAAAACAGAAAAGAGAAGAGCAATGGGCTATAGATTTATAGCCAGCTGTAGCACAGACTGCAAGATACATGTGTGTATGACAGGTGCGACCAAGTATAAATTGTGTAGTAATGTTTATAGGAGTATATGAATTTCCTACTAAATTGACTATAGATGATTTGGAGTCAGTGATTGGCTATATTATTAAACTTGCTCTAAGAAACGATAGCTTTACTACCTCGAATTCCTACATACATGCATGCATACTCAATTGTCATGCTTAAATGCAATAATATTACACGTCAAACGAAGGGGCTATGATAATATGATGATCAATTTGAAAATTTCAATTTATGTTAAATGATCAATATAAAACGGATGGAGTATTTCATACTGGCTGGCCTATTATGCGGCAAAGCCGCGTTTATTTTCTAGTTGTAATCCTAATAAACTATCAGGTACGGAGTCAGATTCTTTACCGGGAAAAAAAACAGTGACCGTCAAACCAACGTTTTCTTTTTTTCTTGAATGACTACAACGTCGCGCTCTTTTTTATGTTCTTGTTGTTTTGAAGAACAGTCAAGATATTTTGCCGTCTGTATTCAACTATTGATAGAGTAGGGAGTTTACAGGGCGCTATCTTTCATGTTTATGTTGTGGAGCCATCTATCTATCTTATATTATATTATTAAAACAGTTTTGAAAGGAGGCACCACGTTCACTGTGGGGGTTAGAAATTTACATGTTAATCGGAGAAAAAGAAAAAAAAAAGAAAAGGAGAGTCAAGTAGAAAATACAATCTAAAAATAGCTAAAATTCGGAATTAAAAATAAGCAATATTAAAAGAAGTTTACATATAAGAATCCAATACGAGATTAATCAAAATTCGAAATAAAAATAAAATAAAATCCAAAATTAGAAAATAAAAGGAGAGTCTAAGTAGAAATACAATTTAAAAATAGCTGAAATTCGGAATTAAAAATAAGGAATATTGAGAGGAGAGTCCATATAAGAACCCAATACGAGATTAATCTAAATTTGAAATAAAAATAAAATAAAATCTGAAATTAGAAAATAAAAGGAGAGTCCAAATAAGAATACAATTTTAAAATAACTAAAATTCAGAATTAAAAATAAGGAATGTTGAGGGGAGAGTCCATATAAGAACCAAATACGAGATTAGGTAATACTCGGAATAAATATAAAAATAAAATCCAAAACTAGCAAAAATAAAAGAGAGATTAGTTAATATTCGAAATTAAAATAAAAATAAAATCCGAAACCAGCAAAAATAAAAGAAGATTTTAAGTAGGGGTACAATTTAAAATTAACTGAAATTCGCAATTAAAATTCGGAATAAAAAATTCGCAATTATAATCCATATAAGAACCCGATACGAGATTAATTAAAATTTAGAATAAAAAATAAAATAATATCCAAAATTAGAAAAATTAAAAGAGAGTTAAGCAGGAATAAAATTTTTAAACAACTGAAATTAAACAATAAAAATATTTAAATAACACTATATGGTATTAATTAAAATTTGAAAAAAAAATAAATTATGAAATTAGAAAAAGAAAAAAGATTTAATTATAAATACAATTTATAAATAACTAAAATTGGTGATAAAAAATAAAGACTATTGAAAGAAAAGACCATGTAAAACATATGACGACATAAATTAAGTAACAGTCCTATAAAAGAGTAGAGATGTGGCGGTTGATACAACATATAAAAATTGTTAATAAAACACCAAATAGAATTCTAAGTAATTGACCTATAAAGTAGTAGAGTGGTGGCGGTTGATACAACATATAAAAATTGTTAATAAAACACCAAATAGAATCCTAATGATGATTAAAAAGAGGGATGACAGGAAGGCCGTGAAGCAAACGGGCAAGGCGGTTGCTGGAACTTCTAGAAAGTAAAAAAAATAAACCTGATTGATAATCATTTTTGATTTTTAAAATCTCAATGACAATAAAAAGGAGAAGCAGCGGGCGGGGTGTATAGGAGTATAGTTGCAGAGCCGCCGATAGTTGGCGGGACTTCTAGAAAATAAAAAATGAATTCCAACAATAGTTATGTTTGATTTTTAGAATCCCAATGATAATAAAGACTAAGCGGCGGATGGGCCGTAGAGGAGTACAGTGGCATCGTTTGACGAGACTTCTAAAAATTATAAAAAAAGAAACCCAACAAGACAATAAACTCTAAAAACCATAAGGTCCAAATTTTAAAGGTTCAGAACTTCTACAAAGTAAAAAAACAATAATAATCATGTTCGATTTTAAAATTTTAATGACAATAAGAAAGGAGGCAGCGAGCGAGCTATAAAAGAGTACAATGGCAAAGCCGCTGACGGTTTGGCAGGACTTTTAGAAAGTAAAAAATAACCCAAACGATAATTATATTCGATTTTCAAAATCTCAATAACAATAAAGAGAAAAGACAGTGGACGAGCCGTAGAGGAGTATAATAGCAACGTTTGACGGGACTTCTAAAAATTATAAAAAGAAACCCAACAAGGCAATAAACTCTAAAAACTATAAGATCCATTTTTTAAAGTTTCCAAGAAGAATAAATAGAAATAGTGTTAGATCAAGCAAGCAAATAAAGGAGATGTAAGGGATAGCAAGTGTGACTTTTAAAAACTATATAATTAGAAACACGGGAATGATAATATTTGGTCTTTCAAAGTCTTAATACAATGAGATAGCTACTTAATAAATTTTAAGTAAAATCATACTAAAAAATATATGATTTTGTTTAAGTGCTAGCCGCATAATTGCGCGGGCCACCAGCAATTGTATATAGAGTAGGGAGTTTACATGGCGCTATCTTTCACGTTTATGTTTGTGGAGCCATTGAACTGAAAGTGGTCGAGGAAGCGTAATTGTGTCGTAGTCATCTCTGCTCTTTTTCTTCCTCCTAAGAGCAAGTTTAATAGTATAGCCCACTACTAGCTCTAATTCATCTATAGTCAATCTAATAGCTAATTTATACAATAGTTGTTTACTATACTATTAATATATGGTCCAACATGTCATACACACATTGCGTCTTGGAGTCCGCGCTGCATCTAGCTACAGATCTGTAGCCCACTGCTCTTCTCTCTCATCTTTTATCTCATTAAAATATGTTTACAGCTAGCTAATATCTGCTCTAAGGTCTTTCACAGTACTCCTACCTGCAGCGTTATCTCGTTTGCCAGCTAGACCAAATTCTGACGTGGATGAAAAAAGGTAGTGGGACCATATCTTTACAAAGGTTTACATCTCCTAGCAAGGATCTGGTTTCCTCATGCCAAAAAATAATGGACATGCTATATTTATGGCGACACAAAATTAGCTTGATCACAGTCGGTTAATCTGACCCTTCGATATCATGTAGATTCGTGTTGCACTTTAATGCTTGACTTAACGAACGTTTGATTTGCTAAGTCCGTAGTTATTTGATCTCTCTGTACTACGAACATGTTGCTCCTGTTATATATTAGTTTCCCATTAAATTTGCACTAGCATCTCTCTTATTTATATTTACTTATATATGTAATTTTAGTGTATTAATTAGAACTTACATGGTCTAAAATTACATATGTAATTTTATGACCTACATATGTAATTTTAGAATTTACATTGTAAATACACTAAAATTACATATGTAATTTTATGACCTACATATATAATTTTAGAATTTACATTGTAAATACACTAAAATTACATATGTAATTTAGACACTTACATTTAAGTGCATACCGACTATTTTTTTTACACTTACTGTGAGTGGTCCCCTACTCCATAAAACTTCCAAATTCATCTACTCTGTCCGTCTGTCGTCGCCGAGGTTCTGCGCGGGCTTGGAGCTCGCCGACCACGCTGCCTAGTCCGACGAGGAAGGGGAGTAGCCGGAGCACAGGAAGAAACGGTGGGGGCTGGTCGGGGGCGCGGCGACGCCAAGGAAGGAGTGGGTGGTGAGGGAGAGCCACCAACGGAAGAGAAAGGCACGACGACCGGTGGCAAGGAGAGCCGGGGTCGCCGCCGTGCCATCTCCTCGTCGCCACGCTTCTTTTCCGTCTCCGCGCTCCGTCTCCTTGTTGCCGGCTAAGAGAGGAGGGGCCCGGCGCCGCTCCAGATCCACGTCGCCACCGCCGTCCTCCTCGCTCCGTCTCCTCGTCGCTGCCGAGAGAGGAGGGGCCTGATGCTGCTCCAGATCCGTGCCGCCGCCGCCGTCCTCCTCGCTCCGCCTCCTCGTCGCCGGCCGAGAGAGGAAGGGCCCGGCGCCACTCCAGGCCCCCGCTGTCCTCGCTCCGTCTCCTCATCGCCGGCGCGACGACGGCAACCACCACCACTGCGCGCAAGGCGCTGTCGAGCACCCCACCGTTCTACTATGCGCATGGCGTCATGTAGACTGGAGTCCGCCGTGTGGAGGTGGTCGCCGGCCCGGCGCCAAGAAAGGGGAAAGTGGGAGAGAGAATGGGAAAGTAACAGAGAGAATGGGTTGGGATGGTTGGTTTGGGGATCCCGTGTAGTAACTGTGAGAGGTATGGATTCGTTGTACATTTATCTTAAGGTAATTCAAATAAAGGACTTGCACTGCTACTGCCTAAAGCACAGTGCCTTAGAGTTTTTTTTTAGGGAAACAGTGCCTTAGAGTTACTCACACAGTGCGACGAATTCTCTCGACGTTGGCAAGCAGCGCGAGCTTGGATATGTTGACGTCTGCAGTTCATCACTCATTCGTTAATGCATGTTTCCCATATGAACTTTAATTAGCATGAATCATTTCAACAGAAAAATAGAGTAGAGTAATATGATCACATCCGTTTCTTTTTTTCGGCTTCTGGATTTTCGAAAGGAGCAATCTCAATGAAACTATGGATGTTGCATTAAATTCTTCATCTTGAACCTTCATACGTGACTATGTCTAGCCGCAAATTCATACAGTAAACATTAAAGCAAATCCGTCTCCAACTTGACTGCCATCATGTTGTAGAGGCGTGCATTGGTTAGCCCCTCTTATTCACTACTGGCCTAACTCCAATTTTACTAGCATTCTTTAATCTTGTCGATGACCATCTGATCTAACTCTCCAGCTCTATTTATCAATGTCGATTTCTTACTGATGAAATTGGTTTATAGCCTCTCGCTTAATGTTTTCTTTACACATACGATGCTTTAGATTGACTGCATAATCTTCTTCATTAACCTTGACACTAGCCACCAATAAACTCTCTCGATACTAGAGTTGTTAAGTACACATGGCTCACCTTTTTTCAGTTACAATTCATCACTTTACAAGTTGCATAACATAAAACAAAATTTCCATTTGTTGGCAACAGCCAACATGACACTTCAAACTTTCCTTTCAAGCTGGAGAGCAAATCTAACCTAACCTGAAATTTGAATCGTAGTAGCCCATCCAATCAGTTTGCTTCTCAAATCAAAGAGAACAAGAGGAAAGGCAAACAGAAGGGAAAGCAGCCCAGGCCAAGAAAAGGGTAGAGAAGCAACCCCAGGCCGGCAGGCAAACACGCGCCACACGTTGCCGCTACACCTTCCACCTCAGCACCCTCGATGGCCTCGTCGTCTGCTCGTGGGGTCCTCGTCATCGCTACCCCTGGGCTCGTGGCCAGCGGCAATTGGCTCGCACTGCTGCGCACCAAAAAAAAAGAAAAAAGGAAAGAAAAAACAAGAGATCAAATCGTGGAACTCAACGGGAGTCTCCTCGCGAGGTCGAGTGGACTCCACCACCTTCTCCTCCTCCACTCCAAGCCCACGAATTCGGATCAGCGCCGCCGCCGCCGCCGCCGCCGCCGCGGGAGGAGGGCTCGCCGATTCCACTACTTCACTCCAGTAGGTGGCCAACGCGCGGGGTGGGAGCAGCAGCGACGACCTCCAATGGCGGCGGCGGCCGTCTCCTCCCTCCTCGCCCCTTCGGGATCCTGCTACTCCCCCGGATGCCACAGCTGCTGGGGTCCCGGGCCCGGAGGCGGGCGGCGCCTACCTTCCCCGCGCCGGCGCCCGATTACCGCCGCGGCTCGCCCTGTGAGCTCCCCCCTCTCTCGTACACACACTCTCTCACACACACTCGCCCACTCACTCTCGAATCGCGTGGATGTTCGTTGATTGGGAGGTCGCGCAGCCTAGATGAGAACCGGCACTTGCGAAATAGCTACTTTAGTTGGTGTATTAGAGAGAGATATATATCCTAATTGTTGATCTAATTGCTTTGTATAATTGTATTTGCGCCAAATGACTTCAAACTCGCTCTCGAATGCGCAGTAGAAAACTAGAAATCATGGCCTAAGGCTAAGAGCGCATTAAGCTCCAATGCACGTCAGAAAACTGGAAATCATATGGCCTAAGGTTAAGAGCATATTCGGCAGGTGCATAATAGTTTTTTTTTTTCCTAATCTGAATGTTGTACACTTTTTTAACCTGGGCAGACTTGGGCAGTGCCGAGGAGGAGCAGGTTGGAGTGGGGGCGTGTGGAGGCTCAGAATTCGGGCGCTCGCACCAGCTGCCGAGCAGCACTGCAATGGCTATCATCCACGGTGAGCCATCAGGAGTATTATTTTGTTTACCCTGTACACTCGTCCTGGAAATTCTAGGTCTGCCACGTCGCAATTCGATCGAGTCAAACCAGCTGAATGCCTGCAGATTTCAGTTTCTGATGCAATGTATTGTCTCACCTAGGCAAGGTCCCATGTGAATGTTGGTTATGGGTCGCCGCTGGTGTTCCCAGGTTTGACCAAACCGGGGTCAAGCAGGTGTCTATGCGTTGTTGGAATGGTCGGCAATGCAGGGAATCAAGTTGGTGACGATAGTGATGATGGAATCAAGGTTACCAATGAGAAGCTTCGTGCTGTTATCCGCAAGAGCAAAGAGGTGTTGGAGATCCATCGGAATCTACTTGAGAAGGTAGCTGTTCTATAAGTTGTTGCTGGAACAAATGTGTTTCTCAATCTTAAAATAAGTTGTCTGTTTAAAGTTATGATTTAGCAGGTTGTCACAAGCCCACAAAAATGATGAAACTAAAAAGGTTGTAGCATTATTTGTGTGACCTTTCATTTATGTAGACAATTTTTGGTTGCAGGTACATAAATTGAAAATACAAGATTACTATGAACTTCCCAAAGTATGATATAGTTTTAGTTGTTGGATCACCTATAAAGCTCTCTTATACAAACAAGCGGTAGACATTCATGTTAGTCAGATTCGTTCTATCCACATACATGCTGTTAGAGCATTTCCTTCCACTGTTGAAGTAATAAACATTGTAGTCTCCATTGTTGAAAGATATACCTTTTAGTCTTGGATTTTACATTCTATACCATCACGAGACAGTTTAAGTTCTAGCTTCTGAGGAACAAGGCGGTGTAAAGGTAATGGAGGCTCTGTTAACATCTACCAGTGAGGTCCTTTGCACCATGTTTGATGGAAGCAATTAGGTATTCTACTGAAGGGCTGATGCACTGAGTTTACTGAAAATGTGTCCTTTTTCATGTTCTTGCTGGAATGTGAAATGTTACTAAATGTAGCATGCTAATTTCTTAAATGGTTATTATATAGTGGTGATGAGAAAGGCACCCTGCGAACGACCTTGAATTACAACCTTTTTTTGGGCCATTTTGCAGTTACATTTATGCATGTTGCTGGCTGTTCACATTAAAACATTACTATATGAAACAGTTCTGGTCCTCCTCTTTTATTGTTTACTGAAAATGGTGGTTTTGAGTTATGATATGTGGCCAACTTATTCAGATATCGGCATCAGAAAGGAAGAAGATCACTTCAATTATAGAGGACAGTTCCATTTATAATGAGCAAGATCCATTTGGTCAAAGAGATAGTTCTTTTTATCATCTTGATGAAGTTCCAGACGATGATGAATTTAGCTATGACCTACAGATGTACCTTGATAGACGTCCAGATCAATCTGAAGTTGTTGCAACTCAGGATTATGAGGCACAACTAAGTCAAATAAGTGAAATGGGACAGTCAGTTGCTGAGGGCACTAGTGATGATCCATCTGCTTCAGCTGCTGTAGATCTTATCAATATCATATTGGTAGCGGCGGAGTGTGCTCCTTGGTCCAAAACAGGCAAGATCATAATAGCCACATACCTTCTAATTTTTTCAGTTTCCATGAAAGGACATTGCGGGTTTAACCTAGTACCTGTAAGTTGGCGGACTGGAGGGTGTGTGGGCTAACACCCAAAATTCCAAATACAACATTACATGGTTACATTTCCTGTGTGAGCTGATTTAATTTAAGGACGTGTTGTTTGTGTTCCTATATTAACCGTTCTTGTTCCGTCAGCCCGTTATGTTTCTCGTGACAAATGTTGATGTAGTCTGTCTTCATGCCTTTTTTCATTTCTTGATAGTTTCCATCCAGTTACTCACAATTGGCAACTTTATAACCTATGTCCTGATGAAGCCTCACTTGAGTCGAAGGCAAAAGTAGGCTAATTTCATTTCTGTAGCTTCTGTAGAGCTCACACTCAATGATTGAAACATTGGGGTTCGATGGGTGTTACTTTAGGTGTCAGGGAGAACATAGATGTAGATATATTCATTCCTGCCTGTTGTAGAAGAGCATGCATGCTGTGTCTTACATCATGAATTTTTCGTGCAATGAAGTCGGCCCAACTAGTCAATATCCCTAAACTTGATCTAGTAAAGTACAAATGCATCGATGCCCCAAAAAACTACTCCTATATAGTCTATCTATGGCATGTTGAATTAATTTTCCAAGACTTCAGACATATACACCAGCAACTCCTCAAGCCTAACCATACTATATTTGAGAATTATAAGCTACCAAATTAATTCTATATCTTTGCAAATATTACTGAGCATATTGGACCTGCTATATGCTATAGAACATTCATTCTATACACTACACAATCACAGGTTAGTCTATTGTTTCAACCAGACCTGCTCATAAACCCCCAAGAAAATATTGCCTTGGCCTTGGAAGGCCATGCCAGAGCTTGGCTTGACACTTCCATGCCTGAAGCCCCCAAAAGAACAGAGAAGTTCCAGTTTATTTAATGTACGAATGTCTTTTATTTGTCCCCCCTCACAGGTGCTGGTAGAAGCGTGTGCTGCCCGCATGAGGTTGAGAGCGTCCGGTCACGCGCCGTGTTCAGGGGGTTTTGGGTTTTCCGTGGGCCGTCTTAACCCACCAGTTGAGTTTTTATTGTTTTTAGTGACCTTTTTAGGGCATGAGCTGGACCAACGTACCAAAAGTAGCCTTGAGTTCACCCCAGTGTTGGGCCTAAGCATGCATGAGTCTAAACATGAACAACTCTAGATTTACACTCAATTACCCAAACATGAGGTCCATTTACTAGCTTTCGAGTTGATAAAGGAGGGGGAAGGGAAGATGGTTGATATAAATTCAGGGACTTAGGCAGTTACCCAATTACTATAGCTAAGGAGAGGATGGTCTATATGAGGGACGGAGGGAGGCAATGGTGGTGGCATGGTCACTTGTCCACCTTTTTGGGTGGCTGCAATACACAGTAACTCGACTGTTGCTATATAACAAAACTCATTGCCGTGTATATTTGCAAGTATAAATACACCAGTCGCATTCATCTCTCTTCCCCCTCCTTTGACATCTCTTAATCTCCTGCAGGTGGGCTTGGAGATGTTGCTGGAGCTTTGCCAAAGGCTTTGGCTAGGAGAGGTCACCGTGTCATGGTATGTTTTAATTTTTAAATAAGACTTCCTGAACCAATATTTTTGGATAGACTCAGTAAGCTAATCACATCTAATAAGTTCTACAAGTCAACACGTGATACAAGCAGAGCAAGATGGCATTCGAGTCTACAAGAACTTCAGTTCGCATACGCTGCATATAGTTTAATCATTACTTAGATTGACTTGATTGGAGTAACAAACCTCAATAGACAGGAAACTCACAAGTAATCAGTTGTGGCATAATTAGTTATACAACCTTCTCATATAGAACCAGTTACTACAAAATAATATGATATATTTGGAATAATTGGGACATGTCAGCAGAACTCACCATATGCCCTATTACATGAATTGGTGTGAAATATTTAAGCAAATTTCACGACACAAGTTGTTGGCTAAGGCACATCTATTATGCACTAGAGATTAAAGGACCTAAATTCTGAACAGTACACCTTTGCATGTTGGGTTTCAGTATAATAATTGTAAATATAGAGTAGTTTCCTGGGCTTGAAATAGCTCTGGTACTATGTCCAGAGTTCTAACCTAAACATTTTATCTTGAGAGAAAATCTTGCCATCTTGCAATAGACAAATAGTTGAAACTGAGTGATGCAGTAGTACAGGTATATGACCTTTCTGCAAATTGGCACATTTTCAGGTCCTTAGGTTGATCTCTTCTATGTGTTGCTGCCCCCTAATTGACAATATAAACTAATATTTTGGTGGTTACATTTGTAGAAGTGCTTGAATAGGAAATATGTCTTGTTTCCTTTTTCCTTGAATAGTAGTAACTTGCAATGGGTACATATATTTTATAGGTAGTAGTGCCAATGTATAAAAACTACGCAGAACCTCAACAGCTAGGAGAGCCAAGGAGATACCAGGTTGCAGGGCAGGTATATTATTCTGTCATGTCATGAGAACCTTGTAACTTATTGACTATATTCTCGTTTGAGACTATGTGTACACTGTACAGGATATGGAGGTAATTTATTATCATGCATACATAGATGGTGTGGATTTTGTTTTCATTGACAATCCTATCTTCCACCACGTTGAGAATGACATTTATGGCGGAGACCGAACAGTAAGTAATGGATTGTTCTCTGTTACCACTTACCACTTCATTGCATGTTTGGTGATAAGAAAAATTGAGATTAAAATTTTCTTATGTATAGTCAGTGGTATATCTTTCTTGCCTTTTTTCAGTTGTTTGTGATTTAAAGCTAAGATGATTGACTTTTATCTGCAGGACATCTTAAAACGGATGGTTTTGTTGTGCAAAGCGGCTATAGAGGTAAAAATTTGCTCATATGTCAAGTATACCACGTGCCTTTCCATGAGAAAATACATCCAAAGTAAATCATCATTTACCATTATTTGGGAGTGGCAAATCCTAAAACCTCCATCCACATTACACGTCTGGTTACACAGTCAACAAACCTTGCAATAGACAATCTGAAAAATCTTCTTTCTTATTTAATCTTTTATCTTTCCATTAGTCCTTATTTTGTAATTTGGTGTCTTGCTTACGTTTTTTATGCTCAAAGAAAGATCAGTTGCCTTCCTTATTGATCTGTTCAAGCGGCTTTTCAAGGATAGATTTTGAACTAAAGTATTATTAACATGATTGACCTTTGGTTAGCCCTGTTTCTCTGTCTTCCTTGATATGCTTATAAAACACAAGATTACCTTGCTTTAGGTTCCATGGTATGTTCCTTGTGGTGGCTACTGCTACGGTGATGGAAATCTTGTGTTCCTTGCAAATGATTGGCATACTGCACTACTGCCTGTTTATTTGAAGGCATACTATCATGACAATGGTTTCATGATATATGCCCGTTCTGTTCTTGTCATACACAATATAGCACATCAGGTATGTTGATCTTTAACTTTCGCGTGTGATTTGTGTTTGCCCTAAGTCTCCCAATGAATCACCTACTAAATGCACAATCCATGTGTTACTTCTGGTTCATGGAAAGTTAAGGAATCAAATCTATTAAATGTATCTACCAAGTTGAACAATCATATAGTCCATTTTTAGTCCTTGAGGTCACAGATTGCTCATGAACGAATATTAATAGATCTTTCAGTGTTTAACTTGTCCTTTCTAGAAAGGAAAACATTTTTAGCTTTAGATAGCAGATAGATTCAAGCAACATCATGATGGATATCTGAAACATTAAACAGAGACTACCATGCAGAAAATTGAGATAATACAGAGAAGAAAGTTTTAGAGAAGTCTGAAAAAATTTCAAACTTTCAATGAATAGATTACAGCTTCTGTTTGTTGTCTTCTGTTTTCTGTTGAACAATCTACATAGTGGCTGTACTGAATTATGTGGTTTTTTTGCTTCAGGGTACCTGTTATTCTGTTGATAATAAGTTTACTTAATTTCACTTTTCAGGGTCGTGGCCCATTAGATGACTTCAGTTATCTGGATTTGCCAGTTGATTACATGGATCTTTTCAAACTTTATGACCCATTTGGGGGTGATCACCTAAACATATTTGCAGCTGGTATTAAAGCTGCTGACCGTTTGCTTACTGTAAGCCATGGTTATGCATGGGAGCTCAAAACAGCTGAAGGTGGTTGGGGTCTTCATGGGATCATCAATGAAAGCGATTGGAAATTTCAGGGCATTGTAAATGGCATTGATACAACTGATTGGAATCCTAGGTGTGATATCCACCTAAAATCTGATGGGTACACCAATTATTCTCTAGAAACAGTTCAGGCAGGTAAACAGCAATGTAAGGCAGCATTGCAGAAGGAACTTGGTCTCCCAGTTCGTGGCGATGTTCCTGTCATTGCTTTCATTGGACGGCTAGACCATCAAAAAGGTGTAGACCTTATAGCAGAAGCAATGCCATGGATTGCTGGCCAAGATGTACAGTTAATAATGTTGGGCACTGGACGGCAAGACCTCGAAGATACATTGAGGAGGCTTGAGAGCCAACATTACGATAGAGTTAGGGGGTGGGTTGGTTTTTCCATCAGGTTGGCTCATCGAATGACAGCAGGGGCTGATATACTATTGATGCCATCAAGGTTTGAGCCATGTGGATTGAATCAGCTCTATGCCATGATGTATGGGACTGTCCCAGTAGTCCATGCGGTCGGTGGTCTTCGAGACACCGTTGAGCACTACAATCCCTACGAGGAGTCCGGACTTGGTTGGACTTTTGAAAAGGCAGAGGCAAACAGACTGATTGATGCTCTAGGGCACTGCTTGAACACGTACAGGAACTACAGGACTAGTTGGGAGGGACTCCAAAAGAGAGGGATGATGCAAGATCTAAGTTGGGATAATGCTGCTAAGCTGTATGAGGAAGTCCTCCTAGCTGCCAAGTATCAATGGTGATCAGTCCAAGAAGACCTCGACGGTTGTTCAGTCATTCATGACCGAAATGCCTTTTTCTCGTGTCAGCTGCTCAGATGCGGCCACCATCTAGTTCCATGGCTTACATCTTCCTGTGATTTGGATGAACAGAGTTTTTTTGTCAGATCTGACATCATTTTCAAGAAGGCACATGATGAACCTACTTCCCAGGTGAATACAGCAGCGGACGATGCCTTTGTTGGAAGGTGGCAAAACACATGGAAGATTCAGCCGTCTGCCAGCATGCACCTCTGTCCTAAGGAGAGGCTCCAAGCCCCATTGTGCGCTCTGGAGAGGCTCCAAACCACCATTGTTCGCCCCTGGGTAGGTTGTTGAGCTCGGTTAGATGCTTTTAGTACAGTAGAATAGCAGATACTAGCGGATAGACTAGTTGATATTTCCCCTATGCACCGAGTGGTTCGGTTGTACCTTATTTTTTTCTTGGCTCTTGTTGTCCAGTTCTTCGATCTTTAGACGATTAGCGTCCCGGGATTTCCCAGATGACATTGACATTGATACTAGTGGGAATTTCCCCTGCAAATTTACTGTCAGCTTTTCCATTGGTCTGCAGCTATGATCAGTTAAACCCGTGGATCCCATGGTGGCTTTCCCTTCTACTTGTGACTTGGGGAGGTAGGCAACACTGCCCCTTGATAGTTGATGCATACGCTTCATGCAGATTCCTCGACTGGTCCATTGGCACATGAAAGAAAAGGAGATTGCAAGTATGCAACGACCGTGTGGGTATCAGCGTGTGCAATGCTCGCAAGCTCGCATGAGGTGGCCGCAAGCCTGCGACGCCGGATGCTTAGCCCCAAGGAGAGACGGTGACATACAAGGTAAGGTATCTCCAATTTAACTTGCCCACACAAGCTCACCATTCCTCACCTGCAAAAATTCCTTCCCTACCAAATGGATTCTTCTTCCATCACCAGCGTCCATTCCACGACAACTCCAGCCATGTACATGTATATATATATAGTCCTCGACCTATGCATGACAGATTCCTAAGCTATAATCAAAGCTACTTCTGCCTAGCTGAATCCCTTCATCCTGCGGCACACCGATTTTGGGGGTGAATTGAGCGGTAGCTCCGTCGGTTGAGGAGGAAGAGATGGACGGCGCCGGCGGCCGCTCGTACGAGGACTTCAAGCCGCCGCACAAGATGGTCCGCGAGCCGCCCACGCACACCCTCACCATCGATCTCTCCGCCAAAGGCAAAGCTCTCCTGCGTCTCCAATTTTTCATGAGCAGTCCTATTACATACATACATGCTCTTTTGATTTGTTGCTATGCATATTTAGCTACTTTAGGGCATGTTTAGTTCCCAAACAAAATTTTTCGCGTTGTCACATTAAATATTTGGACACATGCATGGAGTATTAAATATAGACAAAAAAAAAACCAGTTACACAATTTGCCAGAAAATTGCGAGACGAATCTTTTAAGCCTAAGTGTGCCATGATTTGACAATATGGTGCTACAGTAAATATTTGATAATAACGGATTAATTAGGCATAATAATTAAATTCGTCTCACGGTTTCCTGGCGGAATCTGCATTTTGTTTTTTTATTAGACTATGTTTAATAATTTAAATATGTATCCGTATATCTGATGTGATGTGCAGGGGAAAACTTTTTGCCAACTAAACATGCCCTTAGACTGAGTTCGGCCAACTTTGTCTGACACGGAAAACAAAGCAAATGATTAGAACCAGATTAATTAAGTATTAGCTTAAAAAACTTGAAAATGGATTAATAAAAGCAACTTTCCTATAGAAAACTTTTGCAAAAATTCACACCGTTTAATAATTTGAAAAGTGTGTGCGTGAAAAATGATGGAGGCGAGTTGAGAAAAAAAGGGAAGAACACAACCTTAACATAAGAATAAAGTTTCTTTTTTCTTTCAAAATGCTTTTCGTGTGCTCTGTCCCATTTTAAACGCTGTTGTATACGAAAATGCATAGGGAGTACACATTATTAGCACCCGTACATTCTATACACCTGGAAGATGCGTCCTCGCAGAAAGAAAAAAAAAAGTTACTTGTGGTAATACACACGTCGTCCCTGACGATTATTTAAGGAAGAATGGTTCTGTTCTTTTCAGTTAATTCAACAGATTATATTATTGCCATCATATCATGAAGTATTTGTTCCACACGCAAAAGAAATACGTTTTGTTGAAAAATATTTTTGTACTACATTGCTCGATCCCTTAACAAAGCTATTTGTTTTTAAACTGAGATCATTATTATATTTCAAATGATCCGGCTTTTGGTAGAAAGCCAAGATAACGAAATACTACATGTTAAGTTTATTTATCAAAATATTTAATTTATATCTACAATTGTGTCGATAATTTGTTTCAAATTGGACAAAGTTTATGACTCGTTCCATTTTGGTGATCGATGGCGTGTCATATATGCAGGGTACAAGAAGGAGCACATCAAGGTGCAGCTGGTCCGCAGCCGGCGGCGGCTGGTCGTGAGCGGCGAGTGCCCCGTCGCCGGCGAGACCAACCGGTGGAGCCGCTTCCGGCTGCAGTTCCCGGTGCCCGACGGCTGCGACCTCAAGGCCATCCAGGCGAGGCTCCACGACGGCGTCATCCGCGTCACCCTGCCCGGCGTCAAGCCGCAGCAGCAGCCGCCGCCCGCCAAGACGGCCGCCGCCGCCGCGGTAGTAGGAGGGGATCAGCGGGGCGGCGGCGAACGATGCCAATTCCTCCGGGAGCGGGGAAAGCTCGCGACCACCCTGCTCGGCGTGGTGCTCGTCTTGTTTAGCTTCGTCATCTACATCAGGTACAGCGTGAAGCCATGAACCGGGGGGACACACGGTATTTATTTCTGAGATGACGAGCACTGATCGATCGCGATGATGCGATGGGTTTCGCTGTAAGAATTAATGAAATCCATCTGAATGGAAAAATGAAAATGGAAATGTAAACAAAGCCTTGGCTTTTTCTGTTCATATATATGATCATCCATGTCGCATGAAAGAGATGTCCCCATGCAAATCCTTGTGCAGTACTATCATCTGACTTTAAGTGGCTAACATGTGGGCCTTATACCCATCGGATTCACGTGTCACAAAAAGTCCTCCAACTCCTAGACACTAACTTTAGGTGGTGTTTGGTTGGAGAGACTAAAGTGGGGCTAAACTTTAGTCCCTCTCACAAAAATAGGGACTTATATTTTTGTGAGAGGGACTAAATTTAGTCCCTAGTTCCCAAACACCCCCTTAAGCCTTGAGATAATTTTATAGTTATTAAGAAAGTATCTTAAGGTATCTAAATTTTACACTAAAATTTTTTATAGGTATTTAGTATTTAAACGTATCAAATTTTACATTAGAAAATATGATATCTCTGTATATCTTATTAAGAATGATAAAATTACCCTTAATCTCAGGCCATGTTTTGAAACGGATGATTAGCTTTAGAGCGGCGAAGGCACACGTACCGTCGCACGTTAGACCAAGGGAATTGCGCGCGAACCATTCGCGATGACGAAAGCTCGGATTTCATCTTCCGTCGCGATGGCGCTCCCGCCTTTTCTCCTCCCCTCTCCCACGAGCGGAGAGGAGCGGGGTATCATTGTGGCCGACGGCGCCGCCGCGTCCGCGGCGGCGGTGGCGCCGCGCGTCGTCATCAGCCGCTTGGAGATCCTGCGGAGGTAGCCTCCGACCGCGCCGCCCTTCTCCGCCTCCGGCGAGCGCGACATGCCGCTGCCGTCGTGCGCGCGGCGCGGCGGCGACGCCGTGAGGCCGAGCCGGAGCCGGTCGCGGAGCGAGGAGGGAGGTGAGGACGTGGGGGAGGAGTATGAGGCTGACGAGACGGCGGGCGCGTCCGTTGCAATGGCGTTCCTGGCGGGCGCCGGTCGGCGCCCGCTCTTCCTCGGATGGTGCTCCGCCGTCGTCGGCTCGTCGTTGGCCACCACTGCCTCGCCGTTTGTCGCCGCCGCTGTCTGCCGACGCGTGCGGGCGCCGAAGCACGGCGGCGAGGCGGAGCGGCTGCGCTGCTGCCGAGACGACGACGTCCCGAGCTGGAGCCGGTCTCCGATCGGCGGCGGCTCGGCCGCCCTGCCGCCCTCGCCATCGTCCGCCGCCGCGGGCGTCGTCATCGTCGTCGTCGCGCACACCGCGCATGGGAACAGCCACGCCGCGACGAGATGGAACAGCTGCATCGCGCGCTCGCCGCCGGCTACAGCACACAAAACCAACTCCTCGTCGTCGCCGCCGCCGTCGCCGGCGTGATCTGTGAGCGGTGTCGCTGCCACCGTGTGTATGCATTGCATGGGGTGGCCGCGTCTTATATCGTGCATAGGAGAAGCACGTAGCGCGATTGCACCGGGGTTCTCGGCGGCGCACGGTGATATTGCCGGAAGAAACGGCGGCGGCGTGGGGTATGCGAGAATGGAAAGCTCTCCCGCCGATTTCTTTGTAAGCTTCCTTCTGCTTGACTGCTTCCATGTTTAACTAGAACCGATTGAATTGAGATTAATTGAACATATGCCAAATGAAAAACAGAATTGCTAACCATCTGTTGACAGAAAATCTATCTCTAAATATTGCAAATTTTGGTCCACTAGATGTGCTTCCTGATTCGTGATCCAGCTGCTCTCCAACTCCGGCAAACTCCTCTACTTCCCCGGCGGAGGGCCAACGAATTAGGGTCCCGGGGTGGGGAGGGGTGGGAGGGAAGGGGGAAGTGTTAGTGATATGCCCTAGAGGCAATCATAGAGATGATTGTATCACATACTATGTTTACATATTTATCTGACATTGTTCCTCGAAATAGATAACTCATTATTTGTTAATGAATATGTGATTCTTTTATGAGACTCTTTATGTTGTTTGTTACTATTTCTAAAGGATCCCTGATCAAATATCATATGTGGAACAAATATGTTTAAATGATCAGCACATGTATTAATTGATGATCATGTCTCATGGATCATAGTATAGAGATACCAAATTAATAATGTGGACACATGTTGGTGAACATGTTGTTGGATAGACCCAACATGAAACACTGCAAGAGCCATATGTGTTGTGTCATCAGTGATCTCATTTAGTGTTGGTGTTGAATCCTTAGACCTGAGATTATCATGGTTTCCAACATGTGCAATAGTTTACTTAGGGACTGCTAAACACTACTCCGTAATTGGGTAGTTATAAAAATAGTTTTCGGGTATGCTATGAAACATGTAGTGGTATATGAATAATCAAGATAGGATTTGCCCCTCCTATGGAGAGATATCTTTGGGCCCCTCGATGTTATAGATTATGGAAGTGCATGGCCATGCCAAAGGTGATTGAGGAGTCAATCACAAGTTATATAATCTATTAACAGGTTCGAGTGAATGATTGAGCTATTAGAGGATGGCACATATCTAGCCTTGAGCTTAATCGATATCGTGAGGCAAAGGGGTTCATACAAGTATACACTAGAGGTTCAGCCAATATGATCTTGATGTATGCCCGGTGGGTCAATACGTTCTGCTAGGGGCCGCTGTTGACGCGTGGACCGAAAAGGAGTTTTCGGGTTACAGCCGAGTGTACATGAACATACAGGGTCGCACGCTTAATGGACCAGAATAAGGGATTGGATAGGGATCGAATATAAGCTTAATTCGGATAGGGATCCGAATAGGAGTCCTACGGGCCTTGGAGGCCCGAGTAATGGATCCTATATATTCGTGAGGGGTGTGACCGGCGGAGGCATTGCATCACGTGAGAAACCCTAGCCGTCACTTCCCTCCCCGAGCAAAACCCTAGCCGCGCGCGGGTGCTAGCACATCTGCGCGTGGCGTTCCGTCCCTGTACGTGTGGATACCGGTAGAGGCGCCGCTGGTTTGCCGTGCTGATCGGTGTGGGAGTACGGCGAGGAGAACGCACGAGTAGGAGAAGGTCGAGCCGATGCGATCGACTACTTCCTCTACATGGACGCGCGCTACTACGCGAGAGCTCCTTCGACTTCTCCGCGTTTTCTTCCACTGCGCAGCGCGTCGAGTGGTAACGATCTATGATCTAATACTTGCATGGTTCCTGGTTTACGCGATGGAAAATTTTGATTTATGCTATCGTAGCCTACCCGTATCCCAACAGGAAGAAGGGGAAGTTCGCCGAGCTTAGAGGAATGGTCGTGGGAGGCGGCGGCCCTGCGGTGAGCGGCGGAACGGGCGGGCGGCGAAGCGCCGGCGGCGGCGCCGGAGCCATAGGGACGGAGGAGGGCGGTGGGCCGGCGTTGGTGGAGGGGCATAGCGAGCTTGTGGTGGCCGATGGTGGCGGATCTAGCAACGAGGAAGACGGCGGGCCAGGAGCATCTCGCCTTCGATGGCTCGAGGAGAGAGGTGAGGGGGGAGGAGGCTAGTCGGGGTGTGGAGGTGGGGGCTCACCGGCGCCGTTGACGCCTTCTGACAAGCCGGCGAGGCCAGGCAGTGGCGGAGGCGGAGGCGGGCAGAATGCTCTCGCACTGAGGAGCGGCGGCGTGAGGGGGAATTGGGAGAGGAAAGGTTTTTTAGGGTTTGGTTGCCTGCACGAATCTTAAAGCAATTGGGTGGTCCAAAATTTGCAAGATTTCTAAGGGGGTTTTCTGTCAAGTGATCTATAGACGGTCCCAAAAAAAAGGCGCTAATTGATCGGCATGCTTCCATATTGTATATATAGAACTGGTTCAACAAAAATGGTAGTGGATCCAAGGCGTGTGCTTTGAACCGGAGTCTTCATCAAAGCTCCAAAAATGTTGAATCCGATGACCCAATACGGCCTTGTTCTGCTAATCCCAAGAGAAAGGATTGGAGGCTAATCTGAAGAGAAAGGATTGGAGGAGATTGAGGGCTTTGTTCGGTTAAGCCCAAAAGGAAGGATTGGAGGAGAAAAAGATTGAAGAGGATTAAGAGAAAGGGATTGGAGGGGGTTAATTGGGGTTAATTTCATATCATAATATGTGCGGAATAAGTCCCTTCAAATCCCCATCAATTCTCTTATGGGAGGGACTAACCGAACAATGGCCTATAACATCTGTCAGGACGGGCACAACTTAGAGATATGAACTGAGCCAGCCCATTCTAATTTTCTTGTGAGATCACCCTATCATGGTGGAAATTTGTCAACTCCCATGGGCTTTTGACTTCAGGCCCTGGGGTATGGCCTACGGTGTCTATGGTCTAGATCCGCTCCATATTCCGTCTTCATTGAGCCAAATGATCAGATCCAATGCGAAGGAGATCTAATGCGATGATGAACCTATTGGAATGTTTCCACCAAATAATTAAGGTCCTTCTAGAACTAGTAAATTAAAGGGGAAAAAACAGGACTTCGATATGAATGCATATGCAAAACCGATGATTATGAAATAAAATACAAACTCATGAATGGCAATTTGAATAAACAGTAAGAGCTTGTTCACTTTGCTACCATTTTCAACCTTATCAAGTTTTGGCATTGCCAAATTTTGGTAAGGTTGCCAAAATTTTGATAATGTTGCTAAATTTTAGCAAGATTTCATATGTACTTACTAAAATTTGGGAACAACTAAATGTAGCCAATTTTTTTGGTAACTTTACTTAAAAAAAAGTAAGGTTGAAAATGGTAGCAAAGTGAACAAGCCATAAGAAAAGCATAGTAATTGGATAAGGCAGATAGACATTTCCAAGAGGTTAAACCTCGTGCTAACTTTCCTTCGGAAATCTCCATGCATTGAGGCAGAAATTTCCAATAGGATTCAATGGTGTCCAATCTTTTGTTTCAAGGACCGTTTTGGGCAAAACAATCATATAGAATTCAAATCCGGGAGGGGAGCTAAAACTGGTAGTACCCTTTTCAGTTTCCCATTGCCCTGCTTAGTTTCTTTCAACATTTCAGTCTGTAGATGCCCTGAAAAGGAGGACATGCATCAGCTTCAGCTTCATGATCAAGCAAAAAAGATTTGCAATAATAAATAACTGTAAAAGAAAAGGTTGTAAAATGGAGTTGCACAAAAGCAAGGAAATCCATCTACTAGCTAGGAGTTGGCCCCATTGATGAATACATGCTGGTCGGCAAGGTGAGGTATCCTCCCCTTTCCTTCATCACCATTACCAGACTTGGCATGCCTTCCATCTCACGTCCCAATATTTTACTGCTCCATGGATTAGCCATTTAGCCTATATAACCCAGCTGCTGTGCACGGCAAATTTCTCATCCAAGCAGCAACCGAGCAAGGAAGCAAAGCACACAGTTCAGCACAAGTAAAATAGCACAAGCAAAATGGATCAGGCAGCAGCAGCAGCAGCATCTGGCTCTCGCTCCCGTGTCCTGTCTGAAATCGACCCCCACAGCGAATGGATTCACGGTGACGAGTTCGACACGCTCGTCCTCGACGTTACAGGTATCTCCTCAATTCTGCGTCTCAAATTCAGGTTTTGTTCTTAGCTAGGTGTTCTACGGAACATTCCCCCTGTAGGGAGATTCAGTTTTCAAGGCGATATGCTAGAAACCGACCGAAACCGAAAATTCAGACTTTCTGGACTAAGTCGAAAATACAAAATGTTGGATTTTTGGTAAGTTAGAGAAAATTAAACTGGATTTTAATTGTTTGATAAGATTTATCTGGATTACATCGGTTTTTGTTGGTTTATCAACAGTATCCTTGAAAACCAGATACCGCTAGTGAGCGGTTTTTGATCCGATATCAGGATTGTGAACCCGTTTATCAATAGTATCCTTGAAAACTAGAGATACCGTTAGTGAGCGGTTTTTATCCGATATCAGGATTGTGAACCCGTACCGTTTTTCTTGAAATCTTGGCCAAAAGTACCAGTAGCATTCGTTGTAAGAAATAGGTAGGCATCTATTTTTTGTTCAACTATTTTTGTTGCAAAACTACTGATATAATATATGCCAAATTGTTGCAGGGTTCAGCAAGGACCATCTCAAGGTCCAGGTGGAGGCGTCGGGGAGCCTCAGGATCAGCGGCGAGCGCGCCGTCAACGGCGGCGGCCGCCATTGGCTCCACTTCCTCAAGCGCTTCGACCTCCCTCCCGGCGCCGCCGACGACGCGTCGGCGATCAAGGTCCAGCTCGACAAGGGCGTCCTCTACGTCCAGGTGCCCGGCCCCGGCGCTCCCGCCGCCGCCGGCGGCAGCGACGGCGAGCAGCAGCAGCAGCAGGAGGGAGAGATCGCCGGCGGCCGCCGCCGCGCGGCGGCGGCGAGGCGCGGCGGGCACCCGGCGTGGCAGCTCGCCGGGGCGCTGAGCCGGCACCGGCAGGTCGTCCTCAACGTCGTGATCGCCGTCGTCTTGCTCTGGCTCGTCACGTTCGCCAACAAACTGACCAAGAACGAGTGATACAAACCGCGTCACCCTATGTGCAAACACAATCGCTGCATAACATGGTATATACCAACAAGATATGGATACTTTCCAGTGTGGACGAGGATAAATAATGGAATAAAATCCCTGTAATAAGCATAATTGGGAAGCTCAGGATATTGATTAACTGTGCTGATAATTTCTGCGCTGAACTTTCACTGCTTGCTAGCCAGAGTGATGTCGGAAATCACTGAGATGTTCTGAGATGTTAGACAGGAACTCACGGGGGTGTGGACTGATGATATGGAGTATTGTACAGGATTCAGCAACTACTGTAAATCTGTAATTCAGTGTTTCTTCCAACAAGCAACGCGCAAACAATGTCGACGAAGATGGACACTCCCCTGTTGTACTATCTGATAGCTCCAAGCAGATTTGCACCACCGAGCTTAGCACCAGTTAATTGCTGCTCAAAAGAACACATGGATTAAATTTTAGAAAACAATCTTGAACTACTAGAACCTATGATGCCACATTCCCACGTTAGATCCATATCAAGTAAATTGCATCTTGCAGTTGCATGATCTAAACCTAGGGGAAGAAGGTACACAGAATTATTGAGGTTGTGCACTTTTATCCTACTAGATGCGACTTTCCTGTGCATTCATATGTGAAACAGAAATAGATAACTGGCTGCCATGAAGTGGAGTGATAGGAAGTAGACATACAGTTTCACGTAAATCAACTTCCCGCAGGTAAGCTCGCTGAAGATTTGCACCTTGCAAGTTTGAACCAGACAATTTAGCTCCCTGAAAAAGTGAAAAGGATACTAATTTAGATTTGTCTCGTCTAAATGGCAATTGTTGGAAGAGACAATAAAAACTTTTAGTATATCTTCAGTTTCCATGATGCACAACATGAGAGATAGTATGCCTGAATTGGTACAGAGGTTATTGGACATTGTCAAATCTTACTGAAGGAACCATTCTAGATTAGTAACACAAAAGATTATCAGCTTATCCTGGGAATAAATGCATCACAAATTCGCAATGTACAATTTTTACCTTCAGATTGGCTCCTTCAAGGTTAGCTCCTGTCAAATTGGCACCTGTAAGGTCTGCCCTCTGAAAATCCATGTAAATTGAAGTATTGAACAATTGGTGTTAAAACTGATCCATGAGAATCAAACAGCATTCAACTTATTATAATATGTGTATTGTAGGTACAAATAAGTTCACATACGGTTTCTCTGCAAAGTGACGCTACGGGGAAAAAGGTATGTGCCTATATGGTGCTACACATAAAAAATGATTGGCATGGATCCAGCATGCAAGATGATATATTAGAATATTAGATGCTACAGAACTAGAGAACAAAAGAAAGACTATATATCGTAAATGTTAATGTTTTTTGGCTTCAGGTTCATCATCATAAAAAAAAACAGTTTCCTATATTATAAGAAATTGGCAGCAGTGTCCTTGCACATAATAATTAATGGAACAGAATTTCAGTTAGCATATAGCAGAAATACGCAGCAATATGGAGTACTGAACACAATTTTTTATTTCCAAACCTGCAGATGTGCTGAACGAAGATCTGTTTCAATGAAGCTACATTTTACCAAGCATGCATCTGCAGAATAGGCTGAAGAATTTATTGCAACTACTCATTTGTTTATATTTTGCAGAGAAAAGGAAAACTATGCAGGTTCAAGCAGAATAATCTGTGATCAAGTAAAATGTGAAAAGAATAGAAGGTCAAGTACCTTGCAGGTTTGCACTTTGTAGGTTGGCTCTGTCCAAAGTAGACTCTTGGAGATTTGCTCCTACAAACTCACACCTGCAATTTCATATTTTGTAATTACTAACAGAACCTCCAAAGTCCAAAACATGAACTAGCTAAAGGAGAAGAGAAACTGAAGGGAAAGGCGACTCTGAAATCTTCTTACTCACGCAAATTAGCATAATTGAACGAAGATCGAGAAGCTTGAACCTCCTGCAAAGAATACATAGGTGTTTCACAACCGAATTCCACACATTACCAATTTTCAGTATTTCTCAGTTGAAGCAAAAACACAATAGGAAATTCATCAATTAACACTGAGTTGAAATATATAAATAAATGAGATGTAAAAATCCAAATAGGCAATTCATCAATTAACACATATGCAATAAGCAGAATGATATCACACTACAAGTTCTGTACCCGAAATTTAGCTTTGTAAAGATTGGCAAGGGAAAATTTTGTCTCCTCAATACACCCGCAACTGAAATCAACTTCCGATAAGTCCTGCAGAACATAGGGAAAACAAGGCACATACAAACAAGTTCACCGCAAGTTTACAAGAAGCATTTCAGTAACAATGGATGGCAAACTACACAAGTGAGCTTTCCCAAGAGCTTACAAGCTTGGACAGGTCAAGGCCAGAAAGGTTGACGCCTCGGAACCGGACTTTATCAGCCTGGATGCACTTGATCACGTCCTTGCGAGTCAGCTCGGCCTCTGAAGATCTTCCAATCTTATCATCCCAATCCTCAATCCTTTCACTTATGCAATCGATCAATCCCTAGAGGATCAAATCAGACCAAACCAAAAAATCAATGTCAGGTTCTCACACAGCATTGGGGTCAAAATCCCCCCACACACACAACCAGGGTGGCAGGAGGCATTGCTCATATACAGGAAGCCGGTAGTACTCCGCCTCCCGCAGCAGCTGCCGGTACTCGGCGTCGGCGAGCGCGGGGACGGCGCCGTCCCTGAGCCAGTTGAGCACGTGCCGGAACAGCTCCCCGTCGCGGTCCACGAACACGGCCCCATCCTCCTGCAGCGACGAGGTCAGCCGAGGAGATTAGGAGAATCAAACCACAACCGGCAGCGAGGGGCGAGCGGCGTACGGTGGTGGGGAGGCCGTGGGCGGCGGCGCCGGAGAGCGCGGCGGCGAGGAGCGACCCGGGATCCCGCTGCGTGAGCGTGTCCGCCGTCGTCTCGTACCTGCTGCCCCCTGCATCGGCGGCGGGCTCGCGTGAGGGGGTGAGACCAATTTTTGGATCGAATCGAGCAGAAACGGATATGCTACGGGTGGTGGAAGAGGCGGCGGACCGATGTTGAGGAGGATCGGCGGCTGCATGGCGGCGAGCGGCGCGGGCTCCGGATCTCGCCGCGCTTCGCTCTTGCGGTTTCTATGGCGCGCGCCGGCGCTGGGCCCGCGTCCCGCCGCGGCGGCGGCGGCGGGGGAAGCCGAGAAGTGAGGCGGGTCGAGGAGGAGAGGTCGCGCCGGCCGAGCCGAGGGCAGAGCACGGTACGCGCAGCAGTTGCAGCCACTGCAGCCTATGATTTCTTGGGATTTTTTTCGAATGGTTTGAACTTTGAACTTTGAAACGATAAGGTGTTTTAGGCTGTGTTTAGTTCACATCAAAAATATAAATTTTGTTGAAATTGAAACGATGCGACGGAAAAGTTAAAAGTTTATGTGTGTAAGAAAATTTCGATGTGATGAAAAAGTTGAAAATTTGAAGAAATATTTTGGAACTAAACACGGCCTCAATTGTCTTTTCGTTTTGAAATAATTGTTCATATCCTCTCCAATATAAGTTTTAGAAATTCATTTCAACGTAAAATAGATATGTAATAAACTCGGATCTTTAGAGATTGTGAGTGTGTGTTTGGCATTAACAAATTACGAAGAAAACTTCATTGTTTTCTATGTACGCGCTTTTCTGAATTGTTAACGGTATGTTTTTTTAAAATATACTCTATAGAAATGTTTCAAAAATCATATTAACCAACTTTTCAAGTTTAAAATAATTAATATTTAATTAATCATATGATAATGGTTCACCTCGTTTTAGGTATTCCTCAGTCTTCTTCGTTCCTTCCCTCTCAAACACAATCTTGGGTCTATCGTACTATTGAGAGAAAAAAAATTTGGCTTGTGAATTCGACGTAATAATCAATATAACTTTATATTATTTTGTATTATAGGTCTATTATATTATAACTAATTGTGTTTTTTATAATGTCAATGCATATGCAAGTCATATCCTATATTAGCAACCATGATTAGGGCCACTCTATAGCCCAATGTCTCTTTCGTTTATCTCTGATGCTCAAAGATTTAATTCAAAGGGATTTTTGTCTCCGTACTTAAGTTTCTAATATTTAATAAAGAAGAATATTGCTTAAAAAAATTTAGGATCGATCAATGCTTGAAACATATCTATAACTCTGAAGAAGATGTGCAAACGTAGAAAAGGAAAAGAGACGTCACGAAGGTTTATCCAATCCAATATTAAAGCCTTCGACAAACGAGGTGTGACTATACGTGACTATAGGAGAATGTAAAGTATTAGCCATACACCCGTACCGTAATTATGATATAAAATAGAGTGATTTATACTTTGGATCACATTCATATCCAAGTTTTAGTTTGAACCACCCATTATCTCATATTTTTATTCCAGATTAGATATTTTTACCTTTACAACGTTTAGGACTATGTAACTCTTATGCTTTTATTAACCACATTAAACTTCTCCTTCGACAAAGATGTTAGCTGCACGTAAATAAAGGAGATTATCAGCATGAAGGTGTCGATATGTTCGAGGTTATTGATATGCGCATGAAGAGAGTTTGAGTGGTCTAAAAAAAGATAAATATATAGCGTAGAGTGAAAAGATGAAGTAAAGAGTGGTGTAGAGTAAATTTTAGATAATAAAAGATAGTACAAAATATAATTCACTTTATAAAATATAAATCTTGTTCTTCAATCTAGTCAACATGTGAAAGCCAAAGTGAGATATATATGCTGTACACTACATCGAAGATATACGTGAGTGTTATTTTGTGGCTAGTCCATAAGCAATAGCTATTTTAATTTTAGTGTCATGTTATATGATATCTAAACTTGAAGCTGAGGTTTTGGGAGAATGCTAGCTATCACGCGCCTGATGGGATCATGGGATAACAAAATATTGGGCTCTTTTCCAATTGCCGGCTCACACAAGAGGATGGTAGCCCCTCCCAACCTTCATCACTATCAACACCGTTTCGCCGCTGCCAGAAACCCCCAAGTCATGTCACCACTGCTTTAGCGCCACCGACGTGGTTTCTCCAGCCTGCCACCGGTGATAACCTCAAGCCCTATCACCCCTGCTTCGTCACCACCGATGCCGTTTCTTTGGTCTCATCCTCCGCTAGCAGCAAAGCCGTATTGGAGCTCTACAGTTCGGTCTACTCCTCTCTGTTGCCACCGAAGGAGAAGAAGAAGCCGTATCTGACTGGTGTATTTTGTGATTCTTTTTTTTATGTTTCAACCAATGTATTTTGATGTTTATTTGTGTTGGATCAAAATGTTGCAGTGAGAATTTTTATGATGTTTTAATTTTTGTCTTCAGTTCTTGTGGATTTGTTGATGTTTCAGTAATTGAAGCTTTGATGTTTTGTGTATCTAGACAAAGTGTTTTAATCCATAATTCAACCGTGTTTCATCACTTAAATAGTTTGAAAGCTAGTGGTGAAGCATTCTTCTCCAAATACTGAAACAACGCCTGATTTTGAAGATAAAATCAGAAGTCCGATTTGTAGTTTCCTCCATATTTTTATTTCGAAAACACTGAAATTTTAGCATCACGAAGTTCTCACCGAGACCGACCCGCGCGCTTGTGCGTTTGTGGCACTAACCAAACCAGCTCGGTGGTCGGAATCGGATCATGCCGAAGAATACCCGACTCAACCCAACCCCGGTCGGTTCAGTTCCGTTCCCCTTCTCCATAAAACGCAACGAAACGAAACGAAACCCCCCAAATCCCCCAAACCCCCACGAAGAAGTAGAAGAGAGAAAAAAGCTCTCATCAATCCCACACCCATGGCCTCCACAACCGCCGCCGCCGAGGACCACAAGGGCAAGCGCCCCCTGCCGCCGGAGGAGGCGGACGAGGCAGCGGCTGCGCCGCCCCCCGCCGCCGCGGAGGAGGAGGGCGAGAAGCTGGTGCTGGTGTCGGACGACGGCGTGGAGGTGCTCGCGTCGGTGGCGGCGGCGCGGGTGTCGAAGACGCTCCGCGGCATGATCGAGGACGAGTGCGCCACGGGCGCCATCCCCATCGCCGGCGTCCACTCCGACGTGCTCGCCCTCCTCGTCGAGTACTGCGAGAGGCACGCGCCGCACTACGACCCGGAGGCCTCCGACCGCGACCGCTACCCGTTCCCGCCCTTCCCCGTCGAGCTCCCCCCCACCGCCTCCTCCATCAAGCCCGTCACCTTCGTCGACCCCGACGCCGACCCGCACGGCCTCAAGGCGTTCGACAAGAAGTTCCTCGACGTCGACAACTCCACCCTCTTCGAGATCATCATGGTATAAGCGCAACCACACCCCCGCCAAACCTTATTCTGTTTTTTTCTCCCCCAATTGGATTGTGTGGTCTCTCGATTTTAACACCGATTGTTGCAATTTGGGATGATTTGGGAGGCTGCCAACTACCTGAACATCGAGGAGCTGCTCGACGACGCGTGCACCGCGGTGGCGGACAAGATGAGGGGGAAGAAGCCGGAGGAGATCCGCGACATCTTCGAGATCGAGAACGACTACACGCCGGAGCAGGAGGCGGAGGTCAGGAGGGAGAACGCCTGGGCCTTCGAGGACTGAAGGGAGAGGAAGGCTTGGCTTGTTCTGACTATTAGAAGATAGGCCTCCACAGATTGAGTTCTGAATTACTGAAAAAACTTCCATACTGGTAGAATCAAATTAGGCATCGAATACTGCAAAATTTTGCTGTGAGTTGTGGTGGATGTTCTTCTGATCTGGTTCAGATCAGCACAAAACAGTTAGATAGAGTAAATCGGTATGCTTATTTTATATCTTGCTCAGCTTCAGTAATTAGTTTATTTTTGCTTGGATGGTTCTGCAGCTGTGAGATGTTCTTTACCTGCCTCTCTGCTAGGAATTGTGAATCTGTTATGCTCAATTGCTTTGTCAGGGTATGATACGCTGGCTAAATGCGTTTGTGCTATTTCTCGCCGGGCATAAAAAAAATTTCACCGGGCGTGTTTGTGTTAGTCGCTGTTGCTGTTCTTGGTGAGTTGAGATTGTCACCTCCAGTTTTATGCCTGCTAGATAGGCTGCAGGATTGATGATTAGGTGTACATGGAAGATTATGGCAGAAATTAAGTTAGCATCCTGCAAGTTTTAGTGTGAAGATGAGTATTTTTAGATTTGTTCATATCAGTACTAATTGCCTTTTTTAGCCATTCATCTCTGAGAAATCTTCGCTTGCTAGTATCTTGCTTAGTCTGGCAGTGTTATTTCTGTTTGAATGCTTGATACCTTCTGCATTCTGTTCTCAGCTGTGAAGTGTGCATTTCTGTGATGTTTAGTTTGCTTGATCAGTATGTTGGTACCCCGGACACAGATTGATGATTAGGCGAATAGAGAAGATTATGGCAGGAAGTTAACCATTCTGCAAGTTTTAGTGTTGAAGATGTGTACATGTATTTAGATTGGTTTATATCCGTACTAATTGATTTGTGGATTGCACATTTGTGATCAAGTTAGTTTTTTGCCGTTTCGCAAGTTCATATCTGAGAAATTTTGGATTCCTACTAATCTTGCTAATTTAGTCTGGCAATGCTTTATTTTCTGTTGGCATGCTTGATGCCTTTGCATTCTGCTCTTTGCTGTGAATTGCATTTTGTGATGTTTAGTTTGATTGATCAGTGTGTTTGGTACCATGAAAACAACTGGTGTTTGTTTAGTGCCCAATCTTGCTTATAGTGCCTTATCTAGTTATCTAGCCATACCATCTTGTGGGCATGTATACATAGAAATTATACAATATGAATGTTGCCTGTACAAGGCTGTGAATGACATTAGGAAAACTTTGCGAATTGATGCATTCAGAGTTCAGGTGGTTCATACCTGGAAATTATGAATACTTGAGAAGTCACATGTCCCATGAGTGCTATAAAAGGATTGCTTTACTCAAAATAGTGCGGATATAGCCATATTACCTGGGCATTTATGTTCTAAGATTTTCTGGAGTTTGAGTATATATATACTTTTGATATATATTGTTTTTCAAAATGTTGGAGTAGCATGTTTAGTTGACGCCAGTTGCAACGCACTGACACTACCACCTCAGTCAAGAATAAAATTCAAGACTATTAAGGAATGGCAACTTTAGCTCAAATTTCTGAGAGCTACAGATTACAATTAACTTGGGCACTTTTGGACAAAAAAGTTAAAGGTGTTATCAAATTTACTCAAATTCGAGTTCCCTTTTGCTATCTAAAGCAAGCGACGATCGATATGTTGGTGGTAGAAAAAAAAATCCCTCAAAAAGCAAAAGAAAAATGAAATCTCACTCAGGTGTAAATTGAAGGAGGGCATTTGTCACGTACGCTTATTATATCTGCAACAGATTTCAGAGCAAAAAACCAAAACACCGGCATGAAGGGGAAGAACGGGCAAGTTTGATCACCGGCGTCACATGAGCCACGACGACCTCAGCACCAGCGCCGGCGTCCGCTTGTCGCCGTCCATGGCGATGACGAGGCCCGGCTGCACCCTGCCGCCCTTGCCGAGGTCGAAGCTGAGGAACCCTTCCACGTGCGGCCGGTGCGCGTTCCTCTCCGCCGTGCCGCCGATCCGCACCCCCCACCCGAGCTCGTGCTCCGGGCAGTCGGACACGCAGACTCCCCACCGCGCCACCGGCCCGCGCCGCCTCGCCGGAGTCGCCGCCGCCGCCGTCTCCATCTCGACCCAGCCTTCTGCTCTCAAGGTGTCGTACATGTCGCAGTCCACCATGACGGCCACCGTGTGCGACGACGGCGCCGTGGCGGCGGCGGCGGCGGCGGCAACGGAGCCCTGCACCGCCACCGTCGACCCTATACCCATCATGGGGGTGGGAGGAGCAGGAGGCGCCGGCACCTGCACCATCAGGTCCGGCGACGGAGGAGGATGCGTCGTCGCCGGCGGCGACGGAGGAGGAGCGATGGCTCTCCGCGTCTTCAGGCTGCCCAGCGGCACGGCGAGCGCGCCGAGGTCGCTGAACCGGGACGCCGGCGAGCGGACCTGCCACAGCCCCGACAAGCTGAGCTTGATGTCGTCGGCCGTCTCGTAGCTCACCTTGCCGAACGTCGTCAACCGGTTGGGCACCTCGTGATCGCCATTGCCGCCGCCGCCGCCGCCGCCATGTTCGCCTGGAGAACCAAAGATCAGCTCAGCTATGGAGGCCCTGAATCTTGATCCCTTGATGCTCACGCCGGCGCCGCAGTCATGACGCTCCGAATACGACGGCGGCCCGCCGGACAACGCTCTGCTCTGGATACTCTGCGGCGAACAGTTTCATCGTCAGACAAAAGCTCGCCGCCGCAACCGCCAATACTCCAGCGAGCTCAGTGGCAAGTTACCTGGATCAGGCTCGAACCGTGCAAGAAGTTGTTGCACTGGGCGCCAAACGGGACGAGGGTCATCGACAGCAGGTCGCTGACGTGGGCGCAGTACTGCAGCCGGGTGAGCTCCAGTGGCCTCCCGCCGGCCGCCGCCGCCGCCGCCGCCCCGAGCCCGGTGGCGAGCTCCGCGGCGACGGTGTCCTTGCCGCCACGGGTGCTCGACTCGAACACGAACCTGGAGCCGAGCCCCGTCGTGTTCCTGGCCTTGGCGAGCCTGTCCCTCGCCTGCTCGAGCTCGTCGCCGTCGACGAGGAGCAGCGCGCCGGCCGCGTCGAGTGCGACCTTCACCCGGACGGGGAGCTCCGGGAGGTGGAACCCCTTGGCGCTGCTCGTGTACAGCGCGACGAGGCGGTCGATCTGCTCGTGCCCGTCCATGTGCTTGATCATGTCGGCGAACTTCTCCCGCTGCAGCCGCTTCATGATCTCAGCCTGCAAACGCGAGTGTCTCAGTGAAGAAGGTAATCGCCATGGTTGCTGATCGAGTGTGTTCGAGCTCACGATCGAGGCGTACGCACCGGGCGGTTGTGGTGGTGGGGATGCTGCTGCTGCGGCGGCGGCCGAGGCGGAGGCGGATGCCGGTGAGTCAATTGGCCGGAGTTGCCGCGGAAGGCGAAGCGGAGGAGCGCCTCGCCGGACCTGAGCAGGCTGCGGAAGTTGTCGGCGACGGTGGGGATCGGCTTCGGCGTAGGCAGCGGCGGCGGCGGCGACAGAGGCGCGGGCTCTTGCGGCGGCGGCGGTGGCAGCAGCAGAGGCGTGGGGTTGGAGGAGGAGGCGGCCATGGCGAGGCGGCTGCTCGGAGGCGACAGGTGGCGCGGGGTCAGGTGGATTTCTTCTTTGCTTCGAAGGGGATTTGAGAGGAGTGGAGTACTGGAGTGTCGCTAGGCGCTTCGATTCCCGCCTTTTTCTTTCCTTCACGGCTCCCTTGTTCGGTTATTCTTGTGTGCCTTTGCCTCTTTTGGCTTTTGCTTTTGCTTTATTACCTTTCATTTTTCGATGTTTCGATGTATTCGGCCTTGTCTAATCTCCATTTTTAGTCTCGACGTGCTATTTACGCTATATTAATTTGTCTTGACTTGTATGTGTGTGTGAGAGAGAAATGTAGAGGGGGTCGGGGGCGTGGCATGTGGATTTCGATTGAATTTAAAGGAAAAAGTACGAATTATCCTCTAAACTATCGCGGTCGACCGAATTATCCCCCTAAACCACAAAACCTAATATTTTTTATCCCCAACTATGCAAAACGGACAACTAACCCCCCGCTTCAATCCACGTTGGTTTTGGTCCTACATGGCAATACAATCAGCAATTCTTTTAATTAAAAAATCGGTGGACCCCACCTGTCAGCTCCCCTCCTATCTCTATCCCAATCTCTCTCTCTTCTCACTCTCCTCACTAGCACAGGCCACGGCGGCACCGAGGATGGCGGCGGACGGCGGAGGCGGAGGCGGAGGTCACGCGGCGGCCAGCAGCAGAGGCGAAGGCAGAGCTCCCCGGGCAGCGGCGCGCGGGGACGGCCGGCGGTCGGCGCGCACGGCCTGTGAGGAGGAACGCGGTCGCGATGGTGAGTAGCGCGAGGACCGCGGCAGCGCCGGCGGAGGCGACCTGAGCGGCGAGCGGCGGAGGTGAAGGCGGAGCTCCCCGGGCAGCGGGTGGCGGAGGCGGAGGCAGAGCTCCCCGGGTGGCGGGTGGCGGAGACGAAGGCGGAGCGGTGCGGCCGACGGCGGAGGCGGAGCTTCCCGGGCGGCGGGCGGCAGAATTGGAGCTCCTTCGGCCGTGCCCCGCGCATCACCCTCCTACTCCTCGTCGTTGTCCATGCCCGGACCACGCTGCGGCGCTCCAGGCCTAGCGGCGCCGCGCACGCACGAGGGGCCACTCGGCGGCGGCGACAGCGACCAACAACGCCATGGAAGAGGGCGTCGACGGCGGCGACGCGGGAGCAAGCGTGTGTGGTCGGTGGCGGCGAGGTGACGACAGTCCGGCACCGCATGGAGAGGGAGAAGGCCGCGCCGGCGAGCTTGTTCGCGCGGGACCGGCAGCCATCACTACTCTCCCTTCCATCCTCCCTGAGACCGGTGGCCATCGCGCGTCTCGTCCCCAACTTCCGCTGCTTTTCTCCATCCTTCCTGACCTCGGTGGCCTCTGGTGGCCGATGTCGGCGAGAGACAGAGAGAGAGGGGACATGGAGAGGCTGAGAGAGGATGAGAGAGATCTGACAGTGGGCCCCACTAATTTTTTTTAAAGAATTGCTGACTAAACTGCCACGTAGGACTAAAACCACCGCAGATTAAGCTGGGGGGGATTATTTGTCCGGTTTCAATAGTTCGGGTGTAGAATGTCTGGTTTTTGAGTCCGAGGGTGTATTTCGGTCGACCTCGATAGTTCAGGGGGGTAATTCGTACTTTTTCCAATTTAAAACGTCTGAGTTGACGATGAGATTTATGCATGATTTCTCTTTCTTTTTTTTTAATGATCAGCTCGAGACGGCACGATGATTTATTGAATAGAATATGAAGAAGTTACAAGGCTAGTACCCCTATAAAGCAATAGTTAGGAAGGAAAAAAAACACTACCATGCACCGCCAGCACCTACACATAATCAAGGAGAAAGCTAGCATCAGACTGGACGCCACTAAGCGTGATCGATCGCCGCTAAACCAACAAGGCCGTGAGTAGTAGTAGTTTGGCTGTTGCTCTTGGTCTGAGGCATATATATGAGAACCAACTTTTGTGAGCATATTGTGCATGCTTGAGCTTATGTGAAGCCTCTTCTCTCCTCTCTAGAGTGCATTACTTACGAATTGAGAGTGGTAGAGGCATTGTGCTTGTGCATGCGATTGAGCTTTGGCGCTTGGTAAGAGTTAAGTGGGTCTTGACTTGTTACTCTTAGTGTTTGCTGACATCTAGAGGGCTTGGTGGCGGTTGTGACCCAGTGACCTCTACAAAGGAGTTTGTAGAGGAGGCCCGGTGGTTGACTGTGAAGGTTTGGAGCTCACCTATCCAGAGATCGGAGAAGAGATACCACTAGTGATCGAGGCTTGGGAGACTAATTCAGGACTGGCTCCCGCCTTGCCTATCCCTTGACGAAGGGGTTCGGAGGCTCGGTGGTTTAAGTGGTGAAGTTGGGCTCACCTCAACAGTGGCGTAGGAAGCCAGTAAGCTTCCGAATTCCAAACATCGGGTGAAAAAATCTTCTGTCTCTGGTCTCTTTTATTTAATGCCAATTTACTTTGAACAAGAAGATATATGAAATTGATGTATACATATTGCCCCGAAAAAAAAGATAGTATATATATATATATATTCAAAACAAAAGCAGTATGTTATGATACTACTTTTATCATGGCAAAATAGCCATTTTCGTCCCTAAACTATCGCCCGAGGCTCAGTTTGGTCCCTGAACTATCAAATTGTCCAATTTCGTCCTTCAACAATTGATTTCGAACTCAATCTCGTCCGTTCCCCTTGATAGCACGCCACGTGGCCAGCTAGACATGCGAAATGTCCGTCCTGCCCCTCGCTCAATTCTTTACATGTTGGATGGCTGACGGCGTCGTCCTCGTCTTCTCTGTTGGTGCGGCTTCTGTTCGTCGTCGTCGCCGCCGGGGAGGAAGACCCACTAGCCGCCGGTCCCCAGTTCTCTTTGCCTCATCTGCTTCATCCATTCTATCTCGTCCATCTCCCCCATCTACTCGCTCCTCGTTTCCTCCCCGATCTGGTCGCTCCATTGTGGAGGCGGCATCCGTTGTGCCTGTATCCCCATGGAGCATGGGTCCAGGGAGGGGAGAGTGAGAAGGTCGATGCCAAGAATGGGAGTAGCGCCGAATCCCGGAGCATCGAGTTCTGGCGCTCATGGAGCTGCGCGCGCGGTGGAGGTGAGTACAGAGCTGTTGGCGCTGGGGCTAGGGTTGATTTGAATTGGGGATTGATTTGTTTTTTGATAAAAATTCGTCGATTTGGTGCAGCTTGAAACATTGCTTGAAGAACATTCAGAGGGGATGCTGGTGAGGACAGGGCTTACATGTCGGCATGGATTCTTCCCAATTTTGTGTTGTTGTTGGTCTGGTCCAGACACTGGAAGAAGGTTCCTGGCATGCTCCCAAGTTGAGCAGCCCTGTGATTTCAAGTATTGGATCGATGAACAATTTGAAGGTAGAGCAAAAAGGGTGATTCAGGACCTAGTTTCCATGAGGCACAGCATGTCGGAGCTGTACGAACATTCATCTAGACAATGGGATGATATGTATGCTGATCGACAGAGAGTAAAACAACAAATTCATGAACTAAAATGTACTATTAAAGAACAAAGAGAGTGCATTGTAATCTTAATTTGTTTTAGCATTGTAATTGCTTGTGGTATATGGCTCATTGTGTAACCACTATTTGAGGCAATGTGGAATGAATTGAAAAACAATTTTAACATGTCTTATGCTCTTGTCCAGAAACAAATTTAACATGTCTTATGCTCATGGTTTTGACATAACAAATGCAAGCGTTCATGACATCATGACTAACTGATACAAAAGCATTATTGCTTTGGGACTATATTTGGCAAGCTACATCATCTTGTTCTTGAAATTCAGCAGCCCATTTTTCTGTGATGAGCTGCTTTGGGCAGATACTGATCCACGACCAAGTGAAGTTGAATGGATTTTTGCAGAGGCATGCCCACCTTTTACATTGATTGTTGCCTTTGCAAATGAGCTAGCAGTCCCAGCATTGGTTTCAATGACAACAGAAGCACTCCCTCCAGCAGATGCCTTCGCCGATGCTTGAGCACTTGACTTCGCAGATGCTTGAGAACTCTCTCCAAAAGATACCAGTCTTCTCTTATGGCCAGACTGTAAACAACAAAGCCAATTTAGGCAAATATACAAATTACTTAGGCTATAGCATGGACATGTCATAATTATTACTAACCTGTATAAATGATGAACCCTCAGGCATCTTACTCTTACTTGATGATGTCGCTATGGATTTTCCTTTAGTTTGCTTCGACTGTGCAGGTTCAATTTGCAATGGGCTTGAGTGACTTGCATTGGTGGCGGGAGGATTATATGACTCAGCGTGTTCTTGCTGCTGTACAGTACATACCAAGTTAGTAAAATGAGTAAGGAATGAATATAGTGCAGCAAGGGGAAAAATTAAATTCAGTAAACACCATTTTCACACAGCATGTCCTCGAGTTGTGACCATAATTTCCACAGCGACGACATCTAATTTTAGTACCAACTTTTGATGACTTGGTTCCAGATTTCACTGGCTTTGAAGGGTCTTTTCTCCTATTTTTCTTTGGTCGGCCTGGCATCTTTTTTACTCTAGGAGGCAATGGTTTGGGATTCGGAGACACAGGCCAAGCCGACTCATGTTCCACTGGCTGCAGTACATGTTGGTATGTCTTCTTATATCTCTCAAGTGAGAAGCACTCATGTATGCAATTGTTAGGCTCTTGTGCCATTTTGAATAGGGCAGCACAAGCATGTTGGCATGGAATCCCAGAGACTTGCCAGTACCTACAGGAGCATGTCTTGCTTGTCAGGTCTACTGTGAACCTCCATTTTTTGTCTCTCACTTCAAATCCAGCATCACCATTCCACAAGACATGACAGAACTGTGTCCTATGCCTAATCTTGTTGAATTTCCTGATAATGTTAGGACACACTGTCATAGTCCACCTCTCACTGTTACTCCTATTTTCTTGGATTCTTCTAGTCACTTGGATCCTAATGTCCTCCAGCATAGTAATAATAGGCTTGAACCTTGATTCTATAATCCAACTATTGAATGATTCACTCATGTTGTTGTCAACTGATTCACAATTTGATCCAAGTCTGAACCAAGCTCGAGACCAATGAATAGGATTTGTTTTCTCCAAATCCTGCCATCCACGAGGAGTTTTTGCAGCAAGCTTTCTCTTGTAATGGTTAAACAACTGCTCATTAGGTGCTTTTGCAATCTTCCAAAACCTCTTTTGGTACTCCTGCAGCCTATGTTTCTTTCTCCAGTTGGCATATATGTGGCGTGCACACATCCTATGCTCAGCAAATGGAAACAATGTAGATACTATGCTTAGCAGCCCCTGCATAAAATGGACACAAATGATTTAACCATTTTATTTTAATGATTAAAAAAGCCTCTACATAAAATGGACAAAAATAGATAGAAATTTACCTTCTGTTGGTCTGTTATAAACACCCAGCCTGCTGCTCCAACAGGTATGTTGATGTCTTTCTGAAGATGCCCAAGAAACCAATTCCACGAGTCTTTATTCTCATATTCCACAACAGCCCATGCAATTGGATAAAGCTGATTATTTGCATCCCTGCCAATAGCTGATAACAACTCACCTTTCAATGGCCCCTTAAGGAAACATCCATCAAGCCCAATTATCCTCCTACATCCTTCTAAAAATCCTCTTCTACATGCATCAAAACATACATAAAACCTCTGAAACACATGGTCCTCTTCCTCTGGGTCAAGGGCAATATGCACACTATTTCCAGGATTACTACGCTGCAACTTCAGAGCATAGTCAAACAGCTTGGAATACTCACCAGTCTGAGTATCCATTATTTTCTTCATTACATGTGTCTTTGCTCTCTTAATCATTGTGATTGACACATCCACTCCCATGTCCTCTTGTACTGTCTCCTTCATTTCTCTAGCCTTCCAAGATGGATTAGCCTTGATAGTACTCTCATACCTATCACATATCCTTCTTGTAGATAACCTTTTATTTTTAAGCTCAGGACAACAAGCATGGTTGGGATTATAAGTTACAATCTGAAACCAATCACTCCTTGAGTTATGGGAAGCATATAGAAGCCAAGGACAACCTTTCCACCTACAAACAGCCCTAATCCTTTTCTGCTCATTCTTCACATATCTGATATTTATCTTCTTCTTCAGAGCATACCTCTCTATAGCATCCTTCAATTGGTCCTTTCCTCTAAAGCACATGTCAACTGCAAACTGTGGAGTATCAGCGAAACTGTCAAATATTGGGAACCTGCACTTCCTTCTTGTAAAGACACCATCACTGTCCTCATCGTACGATGCATCACCATCTGAATCAAAGTATTCAGCACCATCTCCACCTTCTAAGACCTGATTATTACCCAATGGAATATCTCCACCTTGTATGCCATCAACCTCAATTGGATTGTCTATTGGAATATCTCCTCTCTTCTTTACTTCTGACATAAACTCTTTGTATTTGGTTCTTATCTCTCTAACTTCATCATCTTCATCACTTGTGAAACCTGTAGCATCACAGCCATCACTCTCTGCTTCTAAATCTTCTGCTGCTTCTTCATTCGGACTATCCTGACCATGGGTTGGACCTTCCAAACACAGCATGTTATCGCCCTGAACAAATTTGTCCCTATTTTGGATAGTTTGTTCCTTGACAATAGGTTCTGCATGATCCAAATCCATGATATTATCATCTTGAAATAGGGCAAATACATCCTCATCTGCATACTGTGTTCCAGATTCTTCATTCCCACCCATATCAACTGATTCGGTGTATATATCTACTGTTGTAGCAGTTCCCAGCTCATGAATCATGTCCAAACATGACTTGTCATCTACAAGTAACCTCATACCACTATTCAATTCTGCACCAAATGGCAACCAGTACATCCTAACAGATTGAGGAAAAGTTGTGTGATCCAATAGGTGGCCTTCAAGTTCAGGGATAGAGATCTTGTCCTTCTCTATGTGGGACACTCCACAATCCCCATTGCAATACGACATCTTTGACTCATCAAGAACAAATTCCCCATTAAAATGAAATTGAACTTCCAGTACCTCAAATTTAGACATTGCTTCGTGGCCCTATAGATCAACTATATGGTCAAATTTAAACATTCTACAATGAAATCAAACTCAAGTGCAAAACTAGTGAAGTGCCACTCATCTTACCTTTGCAGCACGTCCTCTCCTCTTCCTGTGTCTTGGTTGCCTATGAGCAGTCCGTCTGCCCAAGGACAAGGGCACGCCTCCACCAGGAGAAGGGGTGCGCCTCCACCCCTTCGAACACGCCGTCGTCCTGTACTGATCTCCGCCCCAGCCCCCAAGCCAAAACCCTAACCTACCTATGTAGCTGCCATGACGAACAGAGAAGACGAGGATGAGAGGGAGGCAACGGGGAGCCTGAAACGCCGTTAGCCATCCAACATGTAAAGAATTGAGCGAGGGGCAGGACGGACATTTCGCATGTCTAGCTGGCCACGTGGCGTGCTATCAAGGGGAACGGACGAGATTGAGTTCGAAATCAATTGTTGAAGGACGAAATTAGACAATTTGATAGTTCAGGGACCAAACTGAGCCTCGGGCGATAGTTTAGGGACGAAAATGGCTATTTTGCCTTTTATCATCGATGGAAAAGGAGTATAGTTGTTTGAAAAAAAAAGTGGAAAAAGTAGTATCTATCCCAGAAAATAGTGCATCGTCGGCTTCGTCGCCATCAGCACGGTGTGGCACCGATAGCAGGAAGGGAGTAGCAATTAGCAGCTGGCACCGTCGCCTGAAATCGACCAAGGGACGAAGCACGCTGACTAGTGCAACGGATCGGCTACTCGGCTGCGCTTGGATGAAGAAACGCCACGATCATTCATCTCTGCTTCGATCTGATGCATGGTTGGTTCTGCTAGCACGCCGCCATGTCGTGCCGTCGCCGATCGATTTAAAAAACGGCCGCAGCAGCCGGGGGAGCGCGAGTCTGTAAGCAATAGAAATAGATTAATGGAAGAACTAAACAGAAGCTTCGATCTCCATGCATAAACAAGAAGCAAAGAACAGGAAAGTACGGAAGGACATGGCAGCATAGAATGTTACGGTGCCCATCTTCCTGGCTTGATGAGTTCGATTACTCCGTTGCACGCCCGGCGGAAGGCACCACTATCGCGGCGCGCGGACGGCGCCGGTACACCGAGGCACAGCCTAGAGTCACAGCAGAGCAGCCGTCCGGCGAGGGTGACTAGCGATCGACGGGATGAAAGAGACACCGCGCCGATTGGCAGCTGGGAACGCGGTAGATCGAACTACCGCCGCCGACGAACTTGCTATTTATTAATGAAACGGATCAGTATTGTTGTGCCTTCCGATTAGGCCGGCCGGGATAATTCAGAATTAATAGAATTTCTTTTCAAAAAGAAAAGGATCAAACGGGTTTAATATAAAGACCCGGTAGGAGGGTGGGATGGATTGATCGGTGCTTACCTTTGATGGACGGTGGATTAGAGTGGGAGTACATACACCTGGGTGTATAGAAACATTTTCCAATATATATATATATATATATATATTCTACATCCCTCCCCTAAAATAACTATTTTACACCTCCCCTTCTATGGGTCAAACCCACCTCCCTCACTCTCCCTAGGGCCCAAAACCCCCCTCCCACCTCGGTCAAAGCCCCCTCCCGCCGGTCAAACCCGAGTCAAACCGCCCATTGACTCTCTACCCCGCCCACCACTTTGCTGTTCACGTCTCGCAGGACTTCCGCAGTAACATAACGGTTATTGTGCAGTAACATGACAACTTTCTCGCAGTAACAACATCGAAAAATAGTCATGATGGATCTAGTTCTCGCAGTAACAACATCAAAAAATAGTCATGATGGATCTAGTTTTGTTAAGTATTTTTTTACGAACATCATGGTGCAGACGGATTAGAAAAATACTATATAACCTGAGAGATATTGCTCTCTAAAGATTGAGATTTACTTTTTTTTAAGTTCTTGTCTCACTGTAACGGCGTAGTAACGCGACGATCAATATGCAGTAACATGACTACTTTCTGCATTACCAACGTTATAAAAGCATTTTTGTCTCGATCATCGTGTAGTAATATGACTATTGTCTCGTTGTAACATCGTTTTAAAGTATTATAGTGAAAACGGTTCTAAAAAATAATTTGCGATGTGAGAGATATTATTTTTTAAAGATTTCAATTCTAAAAATTCACTTATACTAAGCTTGCTACTACGTATCTTTGTATGGATAAAGAGAAGTACTTTTAGCACTTGTGTTAACTTGTGACCATGCACATACACTTTTTTAGCACTTGTATTTTATATAAGATTGAGATTTAAAAATTTAGCTATGCGCAAGCAGTGGTACTGTAGTAGTACTGTTACTACCATATGTTCTCTGTTACTGCAATTTCATCATGATGTTACTGTAAAAAGTGCAGTAACGACCTATAAATTTTGCAGTAACGGCCTATAAATTTCACAATAACGTATCGTGTTACTGCAGTTCTGCGATAATGTTATTGTCGAATCATAATAATAAGGTATGATTTCCTACAGTAACATAACGGGTTTGTGTTTATAAAATTTGAACAGATATACAGGTGAATTGGTTAGGAGAGTTTGTTATGAACCATGAGATCATGGGTTCTAGTCTTGAATTCAGCAATTTATTTTTATTTTTTCTCAAAAAAGAAAAGAATAGGTGGAAAAATAAGAGAAGGGAGGGAGAAGAAAAAAAAAGAGGGAGAAAGAATAGGAGGAAAAATAAGAGAAGGGAGGGAGAAGAAAAAAAAAGAGGGAGAGATCGGGAGGAAGGAGGTTTTCTTTAAAAAAAAAAGAGAAAAGAATAGGAGGAAAAAATAAGAGAGAGGAAGAAGAAAAAAAAGAGGAGAAGGGAGGGAGAGATCGGGAGAGAGATCGAGAGGAAGGAGGTGAGGCGCGTGCGCCGGGAGTGGGTGGGGCCGTGGGGTCGCCGGGAACTGGGAGAGAGCGAAGGGAGGGAGGGGGGACGCGCGCCAGGACAGGGTGGGGTCGCCGGGAGGGAGGGGGGCGCGCGTGGGGACTTGGGGGGAGGGAGGGGTGGGCTGGATCGGGAGTTGAGGGAGGGGGGTGTAGAATAGTTATTCTCGGGGAGGGGTGTATGTATATATATATATATATATATATATATATATATATATATATATATATATATATATATATATATATATATATATATATATATATAGAAAGAAGATTGGGAAGCATTGGGGGTGGGATGGGGGAGGAAGGTAGCAAGATAGCTGTGATACAAAGTATGGCGATACATAAATAAAAGAGAAAATCCCCTATGAACCCATGAAAGTTCACCTAATCCCTTCTATACCCCTGAATTTTGCTCAATCCCTTACATACCTCTGAATTTTAGTTTGGATCCCTTTCATGCTCTTTCCGCTAGTTGACCGTTAGTTGACCATAAAATTCTTTTAAAAAAGTCCATTTTGCCCTTTGCTATGAAGAATCATAATAAATTAATGAAGTACATTGTTAGAATGTAAAAATTTATTGGATGAGACTATTATATTTATGAGTCTGTGATGCACCATATTATTTGTGACAAATTTACTTTTACATATGATATAAAAATTTAATACTTATTTATTAGTTATTAAAAGTTTTTTATGTAGCATATGTGTTTTCATAGTAATACAACATATTTGTTTATTACTATCAGAACACATATGCTAAAAAAATAAATAAGTATTAATTTTTTATGTCATATCTAAAAGTATATTTATCGCAAATAATATGGTGCATAACTATCTCATAAACATATTAGTCTCATATAACAAATTTCTATGCTCCAGCAATATACTCTATTAATTTATATGCTTCTTTATACCAAAGGGCAAAATGGACTTTTTCATAAGAATTTAACGGTAACTAACGGTCAACTAGCGGAAAGGGCATGGAAGGGATCCAAACTAAAATTCAGGGGTATGTAAGTGTCACGCCCAGAAATTTAGCCTAAATTTCCAGACTATTTTGTGTATTAAATCCCTGTTCAGGAATCAGCCAAGGTATATAAAACGACAAGTAATAAACAGTTCCAAACGTAAATAAAGCGTAAATACTTACAGAAGAGGCTCTTAGTCCTCACACCAAAAAGAAAGCAGCAGCAGCGGAAAAAGGCGATCCTAGCGGGGATTCAGCTCCACTCCACAGGCAAAACTCAACTGGGTCTGAGCCTTGGTTCTCTAACTCCATCTTCAGCTCAGAAGCACTACACTTTTGAAAAGGGGGAAATAATAGCAAGGCTGAGTACAACCACCGTACTCAGCAAGCCACACCAAAGATGCAGACGTGCAAGGGACACAAAGATGGCTTGAGGCTATTTGCATAAAGGCGGTTGTAAAGCATTTTATTGAGCAAATCAGTAAAACGGTTGAGTCATTTAAGGTAATATTAAATCTCCACTGATCAACGCTACACCACGTTGAACAGGCCCAACCAACCCACATGAACTACAGTGCATTGGGGCGATTTATTAAGTGTGAGACTAATCACGGTTGACGGAGCTCGAGGCTCCTCACCGGGAGACCGCGCAGGCCCCCCTTTGCCGGTTCGGCCGGGGGCTTAGGGTGAGATCCCAAGCTCTCTCTCTCTCTCTCTGTATGTGGAAGGATCGTCAGCCAGCAAGAAACGCGAGACACGGACGATCTATACAGGTTCGGGCCGCTCGGAAGCGTAATACCCTACTCCTGTGTTTTTGTGGATTTGTGTATGGACAAGTTACAAAGTGTGAGCCCACCTCTCCCTCGTTCTAGGCTCTGAATCTGGAAAGAATCAACCCCCTTCTCTATGGGCAAGGTCCTCCTTTTATACTTCAAGGGGATACCACATGCACCCTTCTCTTTCCAAACTGGACTGTTCTTTTTCTCTTTAATGGGCGGAGATCGGTACGGTTTCCATCCGGGAGCCCTTCTGATGGGACAGCCCACACCTACCTCCACTCCCGGCGGAGACGGAGATGACGCGGGATCGTGGCTGCCCGTTGCTGATGCGACCAGTGTCAGACCGGTCATTCTTGTCCCCCACGCGTCAGTTTAACAACGTGCATGTTTGCCCTTCTTCGAGTAACACCTTGCCTGTAATGGTTAGGATGAAGCCTGGTATAAATCTAACCAGGGCTAACGTGCCATCTCTTAAGGTATAACACGCTAGCTCCGGTTTGAGACGAGTGCCTAGAGGCTTTCGTCTTGACGGGATGGGGCAAGGCGTGCGTCAGACCGCCAGTCGCCACCTAACCCTTGATCTGACCGGTCTGTGACTGGTCACAGACCGGATAAAAGAGCGTGCTGTACTGCGCTGCATGCAGCGTGACACGCTTGACCAGACTGCAATAAATGCTGTTAGGTGAGCACAGCTGTGCTCACTTATCCCATATATGTGGCGCAGACTTCCTTAAGGGGTCGGGGTGCCCCGGCCCTCGGGGCCGGGGCAAGCGCAACCCGACCCCCCCTCGGGGGAAATCAGGAGGAGGGCGGACACCTCACCCTCGGGCCCGACGTTCCCGAAGGTGCCAGGCCACGTGGGCGATTGCGTCTGCCTCAAGCCTCTGGTCATGATACTCCCGGTCCCATATCACCGACAGTAGCCCCCGGCGTTATGCCAGAGCAATTTCCCTTCCCAAGGGAAGCGGTCAGGTGTGACGCCACCCCTAAAGCCTGGTGACAGGTGGGACCGGTCCCCGTAGTTGGGCAAAATACCCAACGGTCTCAATCCATGCACATTGGCATTAGTAACTTTGGTTGTCCATAATGGGCGGTCTATTCAAGACTGCCACACCACTTGAGCAGCGCGCGAATCTGGGTGAGCAGATTTGTCTCACCCGGAGATACGGTAACGCCGCTTCGGTCGGCGAGCGTAATTAACGCGCGCACGATACAATCCATTTTGATTGCCACAACCGCATATCCACTTCATGCGCCATAAGCGGGCGAATGGGATTAGTGGAAGCGTGGGCACGGGAAACGAGGGAGCGAGATAGCGAGATACGAGGGAGCGAGGTAGTGGGCGCGAGAAACGAGGAGCCAGGCCCAGCGATGGCAAGGGTATAAAAGCATCGAGGAAAGGATTTGCTTCCTTCCTTTCGCCATTGTTCCTCTTGCCTTCGCCGCCTGAGCTCTAACTCTTTCTCTGCCACGCCCTACTTTCGCCACACGCGCTCGTTCTCAATCATCTCTTCCTCCACCGCCATGGCACGGGGCTCTGCTCTGCTCGACGGCAGTGTATTACCGCCTTCCCGCATCGTGAACGAGAGGCACGCC